CCAACCTGTCAATCTTCAAACGTACTTGGAGTTTCGTTGTCAGTTTTCAGTTGGCAGTTGCTTTTCCTTTGCCGCCCCACACCACCCGTATTGTTATGGGCTTGTTTGCTATTGTAAACTTTTGTGTTTGTTTCGGCATAGACGTGCGAACTGGGTTAATTTTCTATATATATATATATATATATATATATATATATATATATATATATATATATATATATATATATATATATATATATATATATATATATATATATATATATATATATATATATATAGATCCAGTATATAAGTATAGGTATGTTTGTACTTATAAGTCTAAAATGATTATGAGATCGCGTACATAGCAATCAGACATTCACACGACTTGCGCCGCTTGCAAAAAACGAAAAAAAAAAACTGAGGAAAAAAGACAATAATTTCACATTTTTGCGTGTTTCATTGACTAGCAACCATGAATGAGTTGGTTGGTTGGTTAGTTGACTGGTTCGTTGGTGGCTATGATTGGCGTGTAGGTAGCGGGGCTTAATGGCAGGTAATTTGGGGAGCCGAGCTTCAGTCGCATGGCTTTTGTAATCTATTCGAGCTGGCCAGCTAGCCAGCTGGCTGGCTACATGGCTCGAAAGCTGGCGAGTGCGCACAAAGACCTATGAACTGAGTTATGGATGGTGGGGAAGGTCAAGCGTATTACCGCGTTAGCTTTTTGTAAAGAATAATATGCCAATAGTTAGCCTTAGCCTTAAACCTGGACAATTGTTTATTGTTTACTTTCTCTGGCTGAAGCCTAACCAGACTGCTAACCTACTACATTGCTTTTTCAAAGAATCTCTATCCTTGTCCTAACCAGGCCAATAGTGTTTTAATTATTATTTACTTTTAATCAATATTCAAAGTCTGTTTAAAAGAAACGGTGCATTTTTTTTAAAAAGTATTTATTTATTCAGCAACCCAGCGCTTTTTTTAATTCTCCAATTCTCTTCTGAAATGCGCTTTTCGGCATGGCCATCAGCTCGTTTCCCGATTTTGATTTTATCTCCTCAATTGTGTCAAAACGCTTTCCTTTTATTGGTCTCTTCAGTTTTGGGAATAGGAAAAAGTCGCAGGGAGCATTATATCTGAGGAGATTGATGAATAAATACATGCATTCTCAAAGGAATTCAAAGTTGACCCTTTCTTTTAAACAGACCTTGTATTATTTCTCTTTCTTGAAACAATTTGGCGAATAAATTCCTTTAAAAACAATCATAGAGCCTCTGCCAAATATTCTTACTCTTCAAAATGTATCCTTTTTTTTTAAGCAGACTTTGTATTATTTCTTTTTCTTGAAACAATATGGCGAATAAATTCCACAATTTCTTTAAAAACAATCATAAAGCCTCTGCCAAATATTCTTAGTCTTTTGTCTGCATTTTCAACCCAGCATACAATTTACCTTTAACGTTTCTTGCATGATGCTACATACTGAGTATATAAATGGGTTTTGCACTTTCCCACAGCCTAGCCATGCATTACAAAGTAGAGCCCTCAAATCATGAATACTCGTAAGCCAGCCTAGCTAAAAACCATTAAAACGTCACTCTACTATGAACGTATTACACCCACTTACTTCCGATCCGAGTATAGTTCCCCAGAAGGAGTAGCAAACCTATTAGTTGCGCCTGAGCTGCGCCCAAAATGTCGTGGAAGTCGTCATTGTTTTCGCCTTGAGCCTCGCAGTTCCCTTTGGCTCTGCCTCTGCCCCTTGTGGCTTTAGCTGTCACTGCCACTGAATCAGCAGAAATGTGTTCGGTTTAATTTTTGTTTTCATTTGGAGCGCTCGCAGAAAATAAATTTGCAAACTAAAAGGCAACTGGAAAACAAAATGTAACAGCAAGCAGGCAAGCAGCCCAAGAATCGCCAAAACAGTTTCCACACAAAGCGTGGAGGTCAAACCAAAGGTTAAACTGACAAGATTGACAAGCGCACCAAATGGCGAAGACGACGGCGACGACGGCGACGAAGTTGGCCAAAAGAGCAAGGCGTAGAGTGCACTTTAGGTAACGACTTCCAGCGGGGAAAGGAGTAGGGGAGTAGGGAACTTTTTGTTTCCCATGTGCTGGGCAGGTGGCAAGGAGGAGGGCCCAGTTAGCCCAAATGTGTCTTATAATGGCGGTGTTGCATGTTTGGCGTATTTGGCTTCAACTTTGATATTTTTCAGCAGCAGTGAGTTGGGCAAATAAGTTAGTTGAGTTGATGATGATACGCCAAATATGTGCAAACAGAAAGGTATTTATATGGCCAAGTAGAAATGTTGTAACAACGCGTTAAGTAAAAGGGTAAGTTGGGTTCAATTTAAAGTTCTTGGCCTCGCTCGATTAGTTACTCTAAGCAGGTTTTAAAGATACGAAAAGATGAGCTCAAACAAACTTTTGAATAGCAATTGAAGTTAAAATCTCCTGAATTGTTTTATAAAAGTAAGCCAATTTTAATGTGTTTATTGAGAGCTTTATCAGGCAGTAATCGAATCTCATGCCATGCCATCTTAGAAAGCAAATAAATTATTTAAATCAGTATATGCATAGTGATATCTACAGTTACTATAACAATCGAATTTGTTGGTTGGTCAAACATAATGCGCTTAAGCATTGTTGTTTCTTTTACGATAGGTAAGCATTGGATCTTTCCACCACCGAGTCGATTTGTTAATTCCCTGGTAGAAATGTGAAACTAAAACTTCCTTTTTTTGTTTACTTAGGCCAATTAAATATATCTGCTTATAATACTATAATAAACCCTAGTTAATATATACATATTGGTTCTTACTCTAATAGTCCCTAATGGGCACTCTAGAATTTATTTCAAGTAATATACATTTCATTTTTCGAAAACCTATGCTAATACTTGTATTACTAACTTATGAAGTTGTTGAAAAAATGAAACTTTAATGAACACGTAATGAAAAAAAAACATTACTTATAAGCTAAAACTTCCTCTCATCCACAAGGCTCATTTTCGATAAATGTTAAAAATGATTTGCCTTTATTGTAAAAGGGAGGTCGCTCGATTTCTGCGGAAACCAATTAACAACTATTCGAGAACAGGAAATGGATTGATTTTTCATTTCTTACGCTTTATTTTATTTATTCATTGCCTTTATTTAATTTTTCATTTCTTACACTTTATTTTATTTATTCATTGCCTTTATTTAATTTTTCATTTCTTACGCTTTATTTTATTTATTTATTGCCTTTATTTAATTTTTCATTTCACACCCAAACCCAATCAACTTAATGAGAAATCCATATTTTATGATTAAAATTAAATACTATGACTAATTAATGCATAAGCTGACAAATCAAATGCTTAGATTCTAAAATAAGACACAAGCGAAGTAAATAAGTCGCAGAGCCAGCCTGTATAATAATAAATAAAATAAAAACCACAATCACTTCTAATCACCAATTGGAGTTCCCCTGCTGGCGCAAATCACAACAACAACAACAAGAACTGCTGTAACTTGCTATGCTATAAACAATTTTTCTTATCAGCCAGTTGGGTATTATAGTTTTTGCTGATGAAGGGCTTGTTGTAAATATTCTTCTTTTTCTGAGCAGTTCTTGGCCGCCTGGCAACCGCAACTGCAACTTCAATTGCTAATTGTCTGAGAAACTTCACACGGTGCTCCCTCCAAGCCTTTTTTTTTATCGTATACCTTGTAGGCAATTTTTTCTAGTCGCTTCACATATTTTTCACATTAATTATGCGGCGCGTTCTTTTGAATGATGCAACCAAATGCCATGCAACGCGAACCATTGAACAGCGCCCATGGCTGTTTCCCAAGCCCCGGCTGCCTGCCACATACGAGTACACTGAATGGGGCAAAAACGTTTTGCTGCCATTTGTCACAGGTCGGGAAAGGGGGGGACCACTTGACAAAAAAAAAATAAGAAAATTTAACTAAAATCCACCTGAATGCAACGAATCGAACGCGCAGCTGTCACAACGCTTTATAATTTAATTTCCATAATAAAAATGAAATTAAACAAACGCCCAGCCAGAGACACACGACAATGACGTAGAAGAAGAAGACCATTATGATGATGATGAAGATGATGCTGCTGGTTAATGGTTGACGGTCTGATGGTGGCCGTCGCCGATGGCTATATAATAATCGGCTAAAGCCAAAGACAACACTGGCGATGTTGCGCAGACGCAGACACGTGTGGGCGGTCAACGAGTCAGGGAGTTAGTCCCACGACTTTGGCTTTATGGTCGCATTTTCTGCTGATGTTGTTGTTATTGTTGTTTGGCTTTTGGGTTCACTGGCAGCTAAAAATAACGCAACAGCAGCTGAAAATTATTATTTAACGGCTTCTTCAGTTTTATTTTTTAACACTTTTCAAAAAATACAAAATAAATCAAAATAAAATAGCATCTGCAAGTGTTTTGTTGCTGTCATTGTTGTTGTTATTGTTGTTGTCATTGTTGTTGTCATTGTTGTTGTTGCTGCTGTGCAAAGTGAAAGTGAACGAGGCGACGTGCCGCCTGTGTGTTGCACTTCAGCGTTTGGCGTGTGGCTGTGACTCTGACTGTGACTGTAACTGTTACTGTTGTTGTTGTTGCACCTGAACTCGAACTTCGACTTCAACTGTAACACCCAAGTGCCACAACAACAACCACAACAACAACAAGAGAAGAAAAGTCACAAAACTGGCAGTAGCAGCAGCATCAACAACAACAACTACTACAACAACAATTAGTGTTTATTTGCGCGCGTTTTTAGTGTTTTTGTTGACGCTTCTACGAAAAGTCAACTTCAGCTTCAACTGCAATTAGAGTGTCAGTTTAATGAACTGACAACCAAGCGAACCAAGTCTCTCAAAGCAACTCCTCCCTTGCCCCCCTTCCCCTAAAAGTGTATTAACAGCTTAACCCTTACACTTGTCACGGAATTTTATTTGCATTTCCATACTATACACAATTATTAAATAATCTTCATCTTTATTTCTGTCATTTTTCAGGTTATGAGCGAATTGGCCGTGACGGTCTATGCCGCATTGGATTATAATTTACCAGCCGACGAACAATGCCTGATCTCGCAGGAACTTGTAGATCTATTTGACTTCATGATGGCAGATGGTAAGTAACATTGAATATTAAGTTATCACCTAAAAATAAATATCAATCATGTAGAAAGGTGATAATTGGCTTTGGTTATCAAAAAGATGATGGTGTTAAATAGTCAATTCTTATATTCTACAAAATTTGTTTATAAGTTTATTTAAAATAAACTTCAGCAATTGAATTAGACATATGGGTTAGTTAGTTAATCATTCCTAATAGATGTAGAAATTAATCCAAGTAAATTGATTGCATGAAAAGAAACTATAAACTTATTAGTAAGGTTTCTCGAATGTTTGAATACAAAAACATTTTACCGTTTTACATGTTGAATACTATATAGATCGAGGTAAGGAGAAGATTTTATGGTATTTGGAAAAGTATTGCCTATCAGAATTGTTTTTACATTCAAATGCAAAATCAGAAAACAAATTCAACAAATATCATGCCCTCATTAGCTTGTTAGATTCTTGCGGCTCTGAGATTATTATTAAATGATTTTCAAGAACTCTTTTTACTATTTTCACAAATCATATCTTTGAAATCAATTAATTAATTGATTAGGTTCGTCAAAAGCTCAAGTGTTTACAAATTCTTAGAATTAGGCAAATCATAAGTAAAATTTTTGAGTTGAAAGTACAAGCGAAAATTATCTGCAATAAAGAGTTTGGACTAATGAAGCGTCTACTTGAACTCTAAGTGGCGGTTTTTGAAACTCAATCTCAAATTGAGGAAAAACGGGCTCCAACGTTTGCCTGAAAAATCGGAAATTTTTATCCGATAAATTTCAAACTTAAATTGTGTACTCCAAGAAAGAGTAAAAAATAAACTAAATTCACAGTTTTTGAAAAATTTGCATTGGAAAAAGGGTTGCCAGACTACAAAAGAACACAGCTTACAGCTCAATTGAAGAACTTAGGGCTTTAATTTTCGATTTCTTAAATAATATTTTGCTTTGCATATATATGTAAAGTTTACTATCATAAAATACTAAAGTTATTTACTAAAAAAGAGTAACGATTGGGATTTTGTCAATTCAACATAAATTAGGAATTGGATAGCAACTGATTGATGAGTTATTTGCCTTCCCTCTTGAGGGCCTTCATTCCAGAACGTTATCACGCAGCTTTTAAGAAAGGAACACTTCAATTATTTGGGAAAAGCTTTTATAAAAGAGAGTCACTTTCCTTTGAATGTCACATTGTACAATTGTACAAACAATTAGCATATCCGTCATTAGTCAACTTAAATTGCCAATGAGCCCGTATTTGCAACTCAACCCACAACTGCCATTACTCAAGCCTGCAGCTTCCATAAATAGTTGTCAAGGGCCGTGTGCATTAAAATAAAAAAGAACGCGGCCTTCTGTGTATTATGAATCACATGATGCGGTTCAATGTTGTGACTTACTTTTTTTCACATTATTATGAAATGAGACGGCATTGCTGATTAAAACAAATCATCGCATTTAAATAATTTATTGTTTTACACTTTTAGAGAACGACGATGACTGCATTGACGAGGGCATTGACGAGGGCGATAAACGCTGGGACGATGAAGCGGAGGAGGAACGCAACGATACCAAAGAATTAGAGCACATTATCGAGGTAAGTCTAGTCAGAGTTTTGTTTAGTTTTTTTATTTTTATTTTTATTTTTTCCATCCAACGAATTACAAACTTTGACATTTTGGCAGGCAACTGATAAATTGCCAGTGGCGCCAATAGAGGCCACGATTTTGTTTTTGTTTCTACGAGTATTTGTATTTTTTTCCTTTTTTGCGGCTGCACCTGGAGCTATAACTATAGCTATAGGTAAATCTTAAGCTGCTGTTGTTGTTGCTTTTGTTGTTGTTGTTTATGTCAATGGCTCTTAGGCATGATATTTATTTTAGTGGCGCCGATACTATTGCCATGATGTGCCAAAATTGTATCTAATGCTCCAGCAAATGCAAATTAAATCAAATTAAGTTTGACTCTTGTTGCTGCTGTTGCTTTGAACTTTAGCGCTGGGAATGGGCAGGAGACTGGATGGAGGGAGGGATGGGTGGCCGGAGGGTGGGGAGTGTTTGAGTATTCGAGTTGTCTAGTCTTAGGGTGCGCCATGTCTTGGGAGCTAAGCAATTGGCGCCAAACCTTTTGACCAGCTTTGCTGTACTGCTCCATTTTCTGTTTGTTTAGCTTGGCATTTGGCATATATCGCGCAATGCTACTATACTTATATAAATACATATATTCGTTCAGGTATACGAGTATATAGTGCTATTGACTCTGCTTGTGTGTGTGTGTGTCGTGTGCGAAAACTAGTTTGCAGCTTTGCCTGCCAACACGCACGTTGCTGCAGCACTTACAGTTAGCATTGCTGCAACATGTGGCACAAACATACGATGGCAACAACGACGACGATGACGATGTCGATGACAAGACGACAATCCACAGTGCTTAATTGATGGCGAAAAGGTGGCAAAAATTAAGCTGCAATTAATTAATTGATTAGGTTCCTCAAAAGCTCAAGTATTTACAAATTCTTAGAAAAGGAAAAGAAATCATATTTAATTTAATATATTAGCTTGTTAGATTTTTGCGGCTCTGCGATTATTATTAAAGAATTTCAAGAACTCTACTATTTTCACAAATCACATTCATCTTTGAAATCAATTAATCAATTAAATAATTGCTTAGGTTCGTCTAAAGCTTAAGTGTTTACAAATTCTTAGAGAACGAAAGGAAATCATATTTAATCAAATAGTTTGATCTTGAATTGTTTTATTCCAAGCATATACTATCAATTTGAATTTACAATGGAAACGTTAATGTAGTAATTGTATTATTAACTGTAGTGCCCTTATTAGCTTGTTGGATTCTTGCGGCTCTGAGATTATTATTAAATGATTTACAAGAATTTTAAGAATTTAAACGATAATCTAGTAATAGTATTTTTAACTGTCCTTCTTTTATCAGCTCGTTAGAATCTTGCCACTCTGAAATTAGTTATTAACGGATTTAAAGTTTCAAGAATGCTTCTTAGTTTTTTTACAAATCATCCCCATCTTTGAAATTGTGATCCAATTCACTCTCTAGTGTTGAACCACTGTAGATGCTTTCAAATTCTTAGAAAATTCAATCGATGGACTTTAGAGCAACCTATCATAAGTATTTATGCAAAACATATACTATATGTTTTAATTTACAATTGAAACCATAATATGGCAAAACTAATTTTAACTGTCATGCCCTTTATTAGCTCGTTAGAATCTTGCCACTCTGACATTAGTTTTTAAAGAATTTTAAGTTTCAAGAATTTTTTTTGTCTCCATCTTTGAAATTGTAAACCAATTCTTTAGTGTTGAACCACTGTAGATGCGCAGCATGTTGACTTGACGCTACTCGCTCAGTCAAGCACAAGTTATGCATATAGACAACACTTGGCAGCAACGATTTGTATAACTTTCTTGCGGCCGGGCCAGATCTAACTAAGCCACCATATAACCATACCACCAAACCGCCAAACCACAGCAGCGAGCGCTCAGTTACAATTTCATTCTGTCTGCATGTCTGTCTGACTGTCTGTCTGTCTCTGTGCAGGTTCTAAATTACCAACAACAATCTCGAATTGGCGCTGGTATCTTATGGCTTTAGCCATAGCTACATATTAAATAACCATAACCATAAAGTTACGCGATTTCGTAATAGGAAATCATCTGCGCGATTCGTGTTTTGCGGCGCCCGTTGCACTTGATTTCACAGCCAAATGCGTTGTAGGAATTTGTGGCAGCAGCAGCAGCAGCAGCAAAGTGCATCTTCATCGAGCATCTTTCTAGTTGTTGGTGTTGCTGTTGTTGTTGTTGCTGTGGTTCTTGCCACGATCGTTTGGCAATTTAGCATTGAAGCGTGTGATAAACAGCACACGAATGTTGATTGGAGCTGCCGCCGCTGCGCTTCAGTGGGCGGGCAGGGGTTGGGGGCATGGACAGAGTCTAATGAGCCACTTTATAGAATTGACACATTACTGTCAGGCAACATTGAGCAACAACAACAACAATAACATCAGAAGAAACAACAAGCAGGAAATCAGCAGCAACAGCAACATCAACAACAACAGCACCAGCACCAGCTGTGGCGTGCAATTTTTTCCACTTGCTTGATTTTTCTAACACATTTACGCCAAAATATGCAAAATGTGGAAAACCGTACTCGTATCTATAACTAATATGGCAAATTTGCATGTTGCAAGCAGTAAATGCAGCCAATTGTTAATTTTATTGTTTATGCAAGGTCCAGGAAAAACTCCAATTGCCGGCCTAATTGTGCTGAAGCGCAAACAGGAATTTCTTTTTAACAATTATTTGATATAGTCATAACAATATTTAGAAAGACTGTGCATAAAAGTGCGAGTCGACTGTGAATATCAAATCGACTCTAAATAGACCAGATCGCATTTCTTTATTTCAAATGAACCAACATACTACAACTTTCCAATTGCATAGCAAGCTATATTATGCATCAGTTGGAAAGTTGAAGAAATAACGTATGAAAACCATAAAAGGAATTCTGCATATGCCTTACTTAATATACAATACAAACCGGGCTATACATATACTTGTATATATATATCAAATTTTGTGATTCAAGAATAATTATATTATTCAAGAATAGTTAAAAACGTTAAAATGAATAAATAAATAAATACAATACAAACGTTGGAGCCCGTTTTTCCCCCTTTGGAGCTCGAATTTTCCAAAACTAGTGCTTACTTTCACTGTGAAAGGAAACTTGTGTTCAAATTTCAGTTTCCTAGCTCTTACCGTTTGGGCTGTGCCTTGATTGCCAATCAGTCAGTCAGGATAAACTGTTTTTTCAATATATAGAGATTATTTAGTTATATGCTACGTATATTTAAAGAGGTTTTCTCTTCGGTGAGAACTTTGTAAGAACGACAATCTACTTTTAATAGCACCTATTAATATGATTTAACTTGGAGATTAAAGAAAAGTGAAGAGCTCAAACTTGATTAAAACTGGCTCAGATATGTTCAGGAGCTTCTTTGTGAATATCATTTTAAATGAAAATTACGAGTGCTTTATACAATCTGTGGCTTGAATTAGTAAGGTAATAGTTTATTATAAAAAAAATCACTTGAATACAAAACATGCGTTCTTTAAATACTGTTAAGATGATATTTGCAGTGTTTTAGCTTTAGCAATTAATTTTATAAAATCCCTATACTATATTAATTTATTATGTACGTCTACAAATGACGCTTGCTCTACAATCTCTCACGGATGAGCGATCCTCTCTATCGCTAACTTAGCTTGGCAGATCGAAGCAATCGATATTTGCTTTTAAATTAACATATTCGTGACTTAAGCAAAATATACTCGTACACATAACAGTCTACTGGCAGAGCATCACTACTGTAATATAAATTTATGCTTTTTTGTTTATTAATTTCAGACCTGCACCAATCACATTAAACCCACGCAACCAGAGACTCATTACAAAGCCGTTTGCCGTGCTTTGGTAACGGAAACAATTGAATTGCGTATATTTCTGCAACAAGTTTTAAACAATGGTAAGAGCCAAGATTTATTACATGACGTACTGCCACTTCACAAAATAAGGTCAACATAAGTACATTGTTTTTTTTTTTTTCAAGTAATTATATTCAGATCGAATCTGGCAGCTAATCATCAAATGAAAAACAAATTTAAAGAATTTTAAATTAAAGTCAACTCCCAGAAGGACCTCTTCTGGCGCTTAAAAGAAGCAGCGATAAACAAATATTATGTATTTTATATATATTTCTTTTATGTTTCTTATCTTCACTCTTTTAATTAGTTCGATAGTTTTAAATTAAAATAATTTAATAATCTCTTTTTCTTTGCAAAAACTATGCTTATCCCAGCTTAACCATAAAATTTAATTCAATTAAGATGCCATTAGCTATTCATCAAATGAAAAACAAATTTAAAGAATTTAAAATTAAAGTCAACTCCCAGAAGGACCTCTTCTGGCGCTTAAAAGAAGCAGCAATAAACAAATATTATGTATTTTATATATATTTCTTTTATGTTTCTTATCTTCACTCTTTCAATTAGTTAGATAGAGTTTTAAATGAAATTAATTTAATAATCTCTTTTTCTTTGCAAAAACTATGCTTATCCATTAAAGTTAATCCACTTAAGATCTGATTAGTTGATTAGCAACATTAAATACACTCACTGATATTTATTTTCCATTTATTATTCCACAGGCGCTGAGAAACTAATCAAAGCATCAGAATCATCTCAAGCCACACAGCAAGAACTGGCGAAGCTGGGCTTCAACGACTGGGTAAGTTTTCTTTATAAAAACTTACATATTTGCCAGCGATTATTATTATGCAATTGGTGGCTGCGAGCATAACTCGAGCGTAACAAAAACATAACAGACTAGACGCCAACACTACGAGTCTAACACAAATTATAGGAAACACATAGACACCTAACGAAAAACCGCTAATGGACTTTAAAGTGGCCTACACACAGCCACTCTCTTAGCCGCCCGACCAGCCAAATAACCAAATAACCGAATAACCAACGAACCAATTGCCTGTCGCAATTCACAACAATAACACCAACATTCGTCGCTACTTGCTCTGTCTTGGCACACCTCTTTGAATATACAGTCCATGAGACAGCCATCATCATCATCATAATTACGATCATAAAGATCACGCGCCTCAATTTTTCGGCTTTTCCGCTACGCGTTCAAGAAATTACACACATCTGCGATAATCAAACTAAAAATGGGCGCGAAAACTAAGTCCAAATTAAATTAGTCTTTTAATTTCAATAATTGGCAGGCGCCTGTTTCCGATTTCCCCCAAGCACGTTTATATACAAGTATCTCTCTGTCTTGCTAGATATTTTTGGTATTGGGTCATCATCCTAATGAGTTGGACTCGTCGTCGGCCTATGGCAACTTTTTCTATTATGTGTTACAGCTTTTAGTGTGCGAAATAGTTAACGCTTAGTGTATGCGTGAGCGACGACCTTCTCTGAAATGTCGAGGCCGGCAAAGGAACTTGGATATGTTTGTGAATTCATTGAGATACACACGCAAATTAGTCGAACACGCAAGCCACATTTGTTAAAACAAAAACAACAAAAAAAAGAGCATAAAAAATGTGAACTGAATCGAAATAATGCCAACTGATTTTCATGGGTGCGCTGCATTAACTTCAGAGTCCATCACATAATCACATATCGGAAAAAATGCCAGTTTTTTCTTTAAATTTAACTCAGCTCAGGAAGTCTAAAATGGGATTACATAACGCTGAAATGCATTAACATCTCTTTACAATTTAAAACTCTATCTAACAGGACTTATCCCTTTCAACTCCTTTTTAAGAATCCCATGCCTATAGATTGCTATTACCAGTTGCCTAAAATTCCACCCAACATCAAAATGCTGGCCCTAAACACCTCAATAGCATAGTTTACTTCAGTCCCTATTATCTTTAGTATAAACGCCTGGTTTTCTAATTGAAATTAAAGCTAAATAAAATCTTCATCTGTAGCGCAAATAAGTTTCTGTACACCTCAATAGCATAGTTTACTTCAGTCCCTATTATCTTTAGTATAAACGCCTGGTTTTCTAATTGAAATTAAAGCTAAATAAAATCTTCATCTGTAGCGCAAATAAGTTTCTGTACCGCCCTGCCTTCCTCATAACCTTGGGCTCGGTTTCGTACACCCCTCAAAAAAAATTTGCACGCTGATAAAAAGCCATAAAACACAAAAAACAAGAAGAAGAAGCAAAGGCTTGCGTGCGCAATCCAATTCAAGCCCTGCTCTTCATATGTACAATATAATTAAATAAATATATCATAAATATTTATAGTACCGGGCAGATGTGTGGAAATTCGCGTTGTTACCCAATTAATGAGGCATGCAAGTGATGATGAAGTACTGTGCCTCCCTTCATAAAATATGACGCTTTGCGATTGAAAAAAATTTACGTCGGGAAGCATACTTGAAGCAACTTGAAAAGAAAATTAAAGTAACCCCCATAGTTCTCCAATCTTTCTGCTCTTAGAGAGCTCTTACTGTACATACTTTGTTGACAGTCGCTTGCAATGCTTTATTGTAGGGCTTGATTAAAAATGCTCTTATCTAGGCAGACAGTTTTCTGCCTATCAGTTGATAAGGTCTATATAGAAGTTTACGAATTTTATGAACGAAGCGTACGCTTTAGGTATTGTTGTCTTTTTTTTGTTTATACTCAGCTGATTTTTCTTCGTATTTTCGGTAGTCGAATTGTTTTTATTTCTAGTTAACTGATTTTTTTTTATGAATAGTCAGCACTTTATCGTTTTCTGAGAAGCCAACAGCCTTCAGAATGTCACTGCCTAGTCTCTGGGCCCGCTACCCCCTCTTTTGAAGTGCAGAGCGGAACAACGACCCGCACGATAGAGGCAGACGAAAGAAACGGTTTCAATCCAATACAGTTTGCTTTTGCTCCATTTTTTGTTTGTTTTGCGTTTGGCATAAAAAAAACATTGCTATTTGAATTGTTGAAATTCTTTGTTTTGCTTTTTGCGCCTCTTCATGCTTTGTTGCATTTAACTGGAAGTGGCTGCGGTTTGGAAACCTGGCTAGCGGGGCATAGCATGGTTCGTTTAAGGCGCCCCTCCCCCAAAGAGGGTGCAGGTGTCTGATTGAATCTATTTAGTGCAGGTGCGCTTCTAAGAACGCCCAAGCGCTAGTTCTGAGGTGGTGCAAAAAAGAGAGGCTCAGAATGTTAATCTTAACTTCAGAAGAGACTGTTGATGTCCAAATTATGGCCACAATCGATTCCAATGCGATCTAAAAAATTGAAGCCTAATATAATAACACTATACACCTAATTCTGTTTTTACACGGTCTTTTTTTAACACGATTTTGATATAACACGGTTGAAAAATGAAAAATTTCAAATATATTTCTTTAGAATCACTTTTTTTTTGCATACGAGCAATGTCTTCTTTTACACGATTGTTTCTGGAACCAATCTACCGTGTAAAAACAGAATTAGGTATATTAGTTATCCAGCTGCCAGTTTTAAGCATTATAGTAGTTTTTCAACTATTTATTGTGGTTGAATTCAATTGTATTTTGATAATATCAAAGCATTCATATAACGATCTATTTATAATAACGATATATTAACAAAGATCTCTTTCTTAAGACTGTGAATTGCAAAAGCATAAGCAGTTTCAAATTGTTAGAATAGGTTCCTAGAACTAGAAAAATAAACTTGTATCATAATGATTTGACAACCTGGAAAAATATCCCCAGGTATACAAATAATTTACACTCGAATTGGTGCTATTATACAAGAAGAAAGAAGACTTTGAAAAGTAAAGGCGAATTCTGTAATATTTTGTTGAATAGAATTCTTCTGAGTTTCTGATATGCTCGCAAATGTTAATTATTTTGTATTCATAGCTTTATTTCCAACTTTCAAATTTAAAATTTTGTATTCAAACTTCTTGCATATCGAACCATAGTTTTATTTCCAACTTTCAAATTTAATACTTTCATTATCTGCAGCTTTAAAGATGTGATTTTTTAGTTGTGGAATATGGGCCTGTATTGCTTTAATACTTTTTAAAATATCAATATTTTCTTCTCCATATAAAAGTATTCACATTGTTGACATTATTTTGCTATTTCTTATACTTATATTTGTTTGTTTTCTCATAGTATTATCGGCTCTGTTCTTGATCTAGATTTATAAATCAATCTATGTCCAATACATATATAAATTAAATTATTAAAATGAAAATATTTGCTCAAAAATAGGATCTTCTTGTTCAACTTAGACTTTTGTGTAGCTACGAAGTTATTTTATTAACAATCGCTTCTTATTCGCAGATAGTTAGTGTAGCTGATATCAGATTTATTGCCTAACTAATGTCAACTAGATCGTTAGCCCTTGAAGAGATAAACCAGGCGTACCTAATATACTCGTACATAAGTGGCGTTACTTTTCCGGCTTTAAAGTAAAATTCCATAAATTAGACGGCTCTTAGATTCGCTTTGTTGCCTGCAAAGATGAACCCACATTGTTGTTGTTAATGATGATGATGATGATGATGAGGATGGTTGATGGCTGATCGTGATGCCCCCAACAAAAGACCATGTCAGCAAAAAGCCCAAAAAAATGTGCAAAACACAAAAACAATTTCGCAAAGTGTTGTACGCACATGTGTGTGCGATATATCATGCAACCAAAGCGACAACCGCGGCAGCGAATTTTTGTTGCATGTGCTTCCGGAAGCTGCAACATGGCCGAAGGTGGGCCAACATGTGGCTGTTGTTATGGTTGTTGTGGTTGCTGTGTGCTCTATGGGGCTCTGTCTGCTGCCCCTCCAGCAACATTAATTGAAGCGTGGCCGTTGAATAGCAACATTTGTCGGCTGTTGTTGTTGCTATTGTTATTATTATTGTTTTTCTTGTTGCATGTTGTTGTCTGCCGCATGGCGGTATGTGGTGTGTAGCTTTGATTGTGCGATTGTGTCAAAACATGTGCCATGTCAACGGTGCCTTCCACCCCCACACATACGGCTACACGGCGAATGTTGTTCAAATTAGTTAAAACAACAGCAACAACAAAACAATTGTCGATGTTGTTGTTTTTCTGCATGTTTAATGAGTTGTCTTCCAAAAACTTATTGCTGCAAATCGACGCTGTTGACAGGAACAGGAAAACCGCATAACTAAGGCATGAAAAGTGAAAATGGCGCATCGATGCCAACAACAATGCGTTGCGCTTCACTGCCGCAGAAAGTTCAAGTCGTACGTGAATATAGAGTATAGGTATAGCATAGATTTTTACAGTCAAAACTAACTTAGGAGGTTTTTACAACAAGAATAATTCCTAATTGATTTTGGGCAATAAATTTGGGAATATTTGCTGCCAATTGATAGCGAAAACAGACTTTTTAATACTTAAGCATCGAAATTGTTCATCGCCGAAGATAACATAAAAATTGTCAAGGGAAGAAATGTTCAGCAACATTAATGGAACATATTTGTAATTATGTTTGTAGTTATTTATTTATTTGTTTATTTGTTTATTGTTTATCTTATAAATTAAAGTACTAGTAACTAAGTTAGCTCGCATTAAAACCCAATACCATAAGAAATATAATAAATATAAGTACCTGCAATGGCTAGCAAATAATTTACGTTCCATTTCATTAAGTAAGTAAGACAGTAGAGCAGTGATTTTTAATTTGCGATACTAAGCCAACACTTAATATCTCCCACTAATATCGTCTTCCTACATTGCCTGATCAGAGTGCAGTTTTGAAAGGGTATTCTTGCCGTTCTTATTATTCCAAGCTCGTTTCTTTGACTGTGGATTCGTAGATGGGTTCGTGGTTGATAGTAGATGGGACAGTAGGAGACTCGTATTTAAGTTTTATTTCCAGCTTTTTGAAAAGTTTTCTATGGAGAGCAAAATAATTTTTTTTTTTAATAATTAATCAAGTAAGACGACATTTTCAAGATAAAATTTGGGGTTACCCATTTAATAAAGGGTATAAAAATACATTAAATTAAAAGAGAGAATAAAAAATAAACACAAGTTAAAATATTAGAAACCATTGGTTCAAACATGTGGCGTATATTTTATATTAGTTTCAACAAACATACGAATAGTTTAGGCGTACTTTAAAATTCAAATTGAACGATAAGTTCAATCAAAAGTTCTGTTCCTTAAATTGTTCAATCTTCGTAAACATTTAATTGAAATAACGAACAATTAATACTTGCAGTTAAAAGCAATACAAAATCAAGTCAAACCAGAAATTTTATGGAAATGGGGGCAGCTCTATTTTCGATTCTATTTGCCAATTCTTTATTATTCTGAGTTTGAAGTCGCTCGAGTTTTATTTCTTCCTACCACTTATGAATTGTTTTGCTAGTCACGACTTCATTAGGAATAACGAAGAGATAAATGAACCAACAAAAAAAATTAACCATTTAAAAACAAAATTGATCGCATTTAAATAAATTTTTTAAAACGATGTTACTTTTGATTCAAATAAAAGAATACAAAATTATTGCTTATTAAAATGTTTGAAGTTGAATTTTACGCTTATAAAGAAGTAATAGTACAATGAAAGTACCGTTATAATCAGGTTCCACTGTGCAAACTGTCGCTTCCTGCCGCATATGTATATCCCATCACATCACATTACTCATACGCACAGTTAACATGTCATGGACCAGCTCTTAAGTTGATTGTCTTCGTTTTATGCATTTGATTGCAACACCAGCAACAACAACAACAAAAGCATTACCAACATATGCAACAACAACAACAACAACAACAGCAGCAGCAACAGTTATAAGTGCATGTGGACTCGTAATAATTTGCCGATTGGTTTTAAGTGATGAGTGAAATGCCGCTCAGCAGGCAGGCAACATCAACAGCAACAACAACAACAACAATACTGACAGCATCAGATATACATACATACATACAAAATTATTATTAATTAAATTAAAATATTCGTAACGACAGCAGCAGCAGCGTTGAAAAGTGAAAAGTGGCCGCCTGTCGGCAATCGGCTGTTTCTGCTTTTCAATGGGAAAACGTATTAGAAATTATGATTGAAGTGAGCGCCAGCAGCAGCGTTTCCGCCAATCAGCCACTAACTCTGTTGTTTTTATTCGCTTCACTCCACACACCTGTCTTCTTTCTCTATTTCTCACCATGTTTTTTTCCGCCTCTTTGCTAATGCAAAAGCACGAACTGGAGCTGTGGAGAACATTGCAAGTATGTGAGGGCCAAGCCGAATCGCATGTTCTCGGAACTTATTTTCGCCATTGAAAATCATTTTCAATAACAACAAAAATATATGAATAGAAAATATTAGCATTAATATACTATATTAAAACCAATTTTCTGATTATTGAAACTTTTCAAATATATATTTAAATACAATTTAATAATAAATATTTCTATGATAGCTTTTATCAATTGAGTTGCTTTTTGTTTAAGCAATTATTAAGCCTTTTATTAAGTGACAACTTACATGGCTTCATATTTGTTTAAAATTTAAGTTTCGATTCAATATTTATACTGCAGTTGTGCTTTCTTTTCTTAAGAATGTTTTATTTGTTTTGGAATCAAGAATCAGAATCATTTCTGTTAAAAGTTTTCCCTGCTAGTTATAATACTTACATATCTATATCTATCTATCTATCAATCTATCTATCTATCTATCTATCTATCTATCTATCTATCTATCTATCTATCTATCTATCTATCTATCTATCTATCTATCTATCTATCTATCTATCTATGTATCTATCTATTTATTTATTTATCTATGTATCTATCCATTTCTGTTAAAAGTTTTCCCAACTAGTTCACATACTTACATATCTATATCTATCTATCTATTTATTTATCTATGTATCTATCCATTTCTCTTACTTACATATCTATATCTATCTATCTATGTATCTATCTATCTATCTATTTATCCATCCATCTATCTATCTATCTATCTATCTATCTATCTATCTATCTATCTATCTATCTATCTATCTATCTATACTCACATATCTATGAAGTCTTCATTTCGATCTCAATTGCTAATAAGTTATATTGTTGTATTTTAATTTCAGGCACGCTTCTGGGTGCAAGTTATCGATGAGCTGCGGCGCGGCGTGCGCTTGAAGAAAAGCAATTATGAGCGCACACCCATCGAATACGAACTGACACCCTACGAGATACTCATGGAGGACATACGCTCCAAGTAAGTGAAAGTGTGAGCCCAAAACCGCAAAGTCATTTGCCTAACGAGTATTTTCTCCCCCACTCGTGTTCTCCTTTTTTTCTCAATCGCAAACAGAAAATACCAATTGCGCAAGGTGATGGTGAATGGAGATATTCCGCCGCGCGTCAAGAAAGATGCCCACGCTCTGATCTTGGAGTTCATCAGGTCACGGCCGCCATTGAAGAAGGTGTGTAACTTGTTTGTGTCGTAGACCCACATACTCGCACTTAACAACTAGCTGTGTGTGTATACCCGACACAGTACTGTTTGTGTACAAATGTACTTTCTGTTTGGCCAAATTGTTTGTTGTGGTTTCTATGTATTATTTCTGTATCTTCTCTTCATCTTTTTGTGTTCCGTTTCTTGTAATGTAATTGCACTTTTCACCAAATAAATTGAACAGCTTGTAATGCATTTTATTTGATGATTGTCTATTCGACTTCTCGTTTCTTGTTTCGAACAGGCCTCGGAACGCCAATTAGGTCCGCCATTGAAGGCCACTCCCTCCCCACGTGAACAGCTCATGGAGTCGATACGTAAGGGCAAGGAACTGAAGCAAATCACGCCCCCGCCCCAGCCCAGACTTAAGGATCGCTGTAAGTAATAGGCATTTAAGAAATCCATGGGTCCCCCAAACAGCCTACATTTCAGGCATATGGAAATCATTTAGAGGAAAGCTCCATTTTTTAAGCAAGCTAAATGTTATGAGCTGTTGCCGCAAATCTTTAGAGAAATCTGCCTGATTTGACAAAACAAACTGAATTTAAATTTGAAGAAAATCAAATATTTTGGTCCGGCTATGTTCATTTAATTAAAAAATTATGAAATGGAAATTAAAAAAACTCTCTCCCCGTCCAGAAATCCCAAAGAAATCTTTCCTATTGTATTGTTTTGTATATTCCTTAACTAACAGGAATTAGAGCCTATTTCGACAATACAGGTAGGCAAAAAATTTGCAAGCAAAACAACACCAATTACACCTATGTTAGTAGACTTGAGCAGAATAGTTACAGCTTAACTCTGAAAGACGAGTAATATTTAATAGGTTTATAGCTGCCGTTCAAAATAATTCATTTGCATAATGTCCGCTAACACTAAACACAAATGGGACTGCACAGAAATATTCCAATCTATAAACTTCTGAGCTTTTAATACTACAAAAGCAACTTCTATTCTAAATACTTATAGTAAAAAGTGTATCTAGAATGAGGTAAAATGTGTCACAAATAAGTATTAGCAGAAAATTAAAAATTTCTAATAAATCTTTTATGTGAACTTAACAAATGCATTGAGTTTAACAATTGATAATAACAATAATAATAACGATTGGTAACTAATGTCCAAAATCAACTGCTTGCCAACTCTTTATGCCTGCACTGCTTGGATTTAGGCCTGATTGATCATTTGTACATAAGTGTGTACATAACTGTTTTACACTGTTGCGACTAAAACAGCTGTTTCAAAAATTCTTGTGTAAACATGCCAAGACAAAAATGTTTTACAAATAATTTCCCAGAGCCGAAGAAAAATATTTAAATTACTTACATTAGCGCGCTTTTTAGTTACTGACTTATCATATACTTTAGAAAAATTTCAATAAAGCCGGAAATATTTTCATGGAAATGTGACTGAAATACAAGTAATCTCTGCAAACAATAAATAAATTGAATAACAATAGCCAACATTTTCCATAATTTCTTCATACCAGATCAATATCAAATGTAGCCGTTCAATAAATTTATATTGTCAGCAGTATTTAAAAATGTAAAGACAAGCCAAACATGTTATCTTGCGAAAATTTTCACTGCACTCACCACACTCTCTGTCCCAGTCCACTGTCTGCTGCCCCACTGTCCACCTGCCTGAGTGTCCGTCTGTCTGTCTGGCCATTTATCTATCTCTTATGCTGTCTGCTTTGTTAGTGTTTGCCTCGCCAATTGCCATTGCTGGCGCGCATGCCAACATTGATCAAAAACGGCAACATTTTCCAATCCGAACTGTTGAAGGAAGCGTGCAAAATTGTGACACACAAAGATAAAGAGAGAAAAAACCGCATAGTGTGGTGCACCTTACTGAGTTAGGTTGGTTGGCTGGCGGGCTGGCAAACAAACAAACCACCGAACAAGCAGACAAGGCAGGCGCATAAACAGAGACACAGAGGCAGAGACAGAAGCAGGCAGCCAGACAGACAGGCGGACCATCAGCAGCCCGCACGAAGACGCCGCTGCCGTTGACAACAACAGCCACAACTGGTGATGATGATGATGATGACGTTGCCAACGTTGCCGGCGCTATGTTTGTTTGGCTCTTTATTTGTTGTTATTTTCTTGCCTGCCTGCCTGCCTGACGTGCTTCATTGTTGTCGTGCATTCAGCGCCATCGATTTTTGTGGTTGTGGTTTGCATGCAACTCTCGTGCCGAACTGCTTTTCTTCTTCTATATACACATATTTTTGTAGGCCCTGGGAAGCTTTTTCCCCAGCTTCAGCTGCAGAAATATGTAAACTTATTTGATTGCAGTCGAAATATGCATTAGGAATCATAATCTAGCCGGGTTTTATGGATGCCAAGAAAGTCGTAAAAAAGTATAGCATACCAACGTGTGCTGAGCATTAAAGTTGAGTTTTTATGAAACGCCTGCAAGCATGCTGCAATTTATTGTTGATTGCCTTTCCGTAACAGTCTGCGTATGCGCAACGTCATTACAATTGTCTAAACATTTTTCCATAATACTAACGAAATTGAAATTATTTCAAGGAGTTTAATGTATGGGGCCCTAGAATTTAGTAAAAGAGCACATACTTAAGCACAACTTGGAATTTATAATACTTGTAATGTTATCTTACTCAGTATAAATACAAAAGGAACATTTTACTTTTGACGTATTAAAAACGTAGTTCTATAACTAAACTTGAAGGACAATTGAATTGAAACAATTGGTTAATATAAAAGTTTTTTATTACTGGTTCTGTAAGAAGTTGAAATGTACAACATTACTTCATACATATACCAGCTGTTTCAACATTGTTTTGCCAATATTATTTCATAAAAGTTGTTAAATGTGGAAAATCTATAAACCGACTATAAAATCTTGCTATAAAACTCGTATAAATTTCAACTAGCTTAAGCTGTCGTACTGGTAGCTGGCTTAATAAATTATAAATACATTTTTTTTATGAAAAACAAAAAATAAAACTCGTTAATAAATTATGTAAAAGCTATAAAATATTATAAAAATTCATCAATCCCATAAAACCTATGAATTTCAACAAATATATAAAAATGTATTTAATCTGGAACATGCAAAAAAATGTGTTTAAAAATCTAAATAATCTCTTAAATATATTTCACCAAATTTGTCCAAAGTAAGCGCATTTCATGCGAAATTTGGCAAAAATCGCGAACAAATAATTGTAATATACGGCCAACCTAGTAACCTACATTTCAGACACTCTCCGGGCATTTTTCACTGCACTTAAGAACTTTTTCAATTAGTTGCAAACAATCAAACGAACAACAACAAACCAACTCTTCATGCAATCGAAACTCCCTTTCTTGTTGTTGTTGCTGTGGCACGCACATGTGGTGAGGAGGGACGGTCATACATAGATATGAGTAGATATGTACGTCATCAATGCCTCATCTAAGAATGACGTCAAAAAAGCAACAGAAACAATGGCAACAAACAAAAACAATTAGCAGCGCGAAGCATGTGAAGCTCTGACTCTCTACCAACTCCCTCTCTCGCTCTCTCACTCACTCACTCACTCAGCGACGCATGCGCGAAACAAAATGGAAGTTGGAACACTGGCGACCATGTGTGTGGCAGTGTCATGTGTACAGAAACACAAGCTAACTGTCAGTCGAGCGTGTGTGGCAGACAGAGCGGTGTTCAGCTACTCTGCATGAAAAGCGGCGGCGGTGGTTGCCTCAACGTGTGGTGCTAATTTGTTGACAGCAGCGACGCGTGGCGCGGCAGCCTGCAGGACTCTTCGAACAAAGAAACTGAAATGAAAATGTGACCAGTGTGGAAAATGTGAAAATTTTTGGCTGTTGATTAATAGTTATTAAGGGTTCGATGACAGCGCACGTGCAAACATTTTGAGGCCTTAAACATAAATTATTAAAAAAAGAAGGCTTGGCCTTGTTGCTTCCACAAATTCGAACAGAAACAGTAATATCCTCAGGTCTCAGTTGCAAGTCAGCCCGTCAATCATTCAGGCAGTCTGACATTTATATGGCCAACCCCAAAAGCACACACACACCCACTTCCACACACACACACACACACACACACACACACACACACACACATTATCAAACACCCCCAAGTTATGCCGTGCACCATTTTTCCTCGTGCGTTGAAACGGATCGATAAAACAAATGCAACCGTGCGCAATATGACGTGAATAAAACGAGCAGCAGCAACAGCAACAACAACAACAAAAAGTGAATTACAACAAACAACAGCCAAGTGGCGTGGAAGTGGAACACAACAAATACAACAACAGTTACAACAACTAAATACATCATCATGTGGTGCCAAGAAACTGAAAACTGAAAACTGAATAATAGAAAATACAACTTTTGCCAATCAATTTCCCCTAAAACGCACACAAATTTCTATTTAAACCCAAATGGATGCCAAACAACAAACGACAGCGCCAAATGTGACAACAACAACATTAGCAGCAGCAACAACAACAACAACAACAACTGCAGTATCAACAACAACAACGGCGCGCAAGAAAAGCGTGACAGCCGCCTCAGTTTTCAAATCGCATCACATTGTGCGCGAATCGGACATTGTGGATGTTGCCAGCGATGCTTCACTCTATTGTGGAGCGGATGCCAGTGCCGATGCTCTGATTGCCACCGAGGAGGGGGAGCCAACGACCCAGTCACATGCACAGCCACAACCGACGCCACGTGCAGCGCCCCGCGTCGCCGCCGCCTCGACTGGGAGTGCGACTAATCCGCCAACACCCAAGCCCAGGCAGGCGGTTAAACCAAAAGGTAGTACCCGTACATAGTATAGTAGTTGTAGCCAAAGGCATAATATCGTGCATTAGCCCAGAAACGAGGCTATGGCAACCGGACGTTGGGTGGCGGCTGTACGGCAAGGCAACATGAACCCACCCATTGCCGGTTTACGGTTCTTGTAATCCAGCATGCACTCAGAGAAAGCAGGGACTACCTAGTCTTTGAGATTAAGAATGTGCCTCAAATAAGCTGAAAGTTTTTGAAATCGAACAGCTCTTAAAATTAAATGAAATTGAGAATCAAAAGACAATTTATTAAACGTTAAAAAGTAAACATAAAGATTGGAATACTTACAAATATACTTACTTACTTATTTAAAATAGACCTATGAAATATACAAAATTCAATATCAATTAGAATGCATTTGAATTCACAAAAATTCCAATTAATTATTATATTTTTATTTTATTCTTATATTGCTTAAAAATTATTCCAAAAATATGAGAGTATTAAAATTTATGAAAACAGCAATTAGAATGCAGTTGAATTCAGAGAAATTCCAATACAGTTTTTTATTGATTCTTATGTTTTTATTCTGATATTGCTTTAAAAGTATTCAAAAAATATGAGATTATTCAAATTTATGAAAATATGCATTCAATTCAAGCTGTAATTAACTGATTTTCGTATCCACTAAATTTTTGTGACTATTTAAATTTCAAAAGTGATTCCCCTTCAATTTCGTTGCATTAGCCACAAATTAAATATTTTATTACAGAAATTGGTGAAATCGAGCGATAAACACATATCAGATGTTTTTCAAACCTTAATGGAAACTCAGCAAAAAGACAAGCTGTTAAGAGCGTGGAAAACTATTTATTTATGCAAAAAAGACTTCTTAAATCTGATTAAAAGTTAGCAAGTGGTAGACATCAATAAATTTTCAAAAACAACAATCATCAATGACGTATAGAAATTAGAACTTTTGATCAAAACTTCAATGATGTGAAAGAATTTAAATGCTTGATGAGCACTCAGCTACAGGGCTTGCTGTAAAGAGTGTTGAAAAATTTGTTATTTTAATGAAGAACTGATTGAGAATTGGAAAACATATAATTTGGTCGATTTTGGAAATATATATTGCTTGTAAAATGCAAATTCTACGCCTGATAATTTAAATTAAAAACTGTTACCATATTATTTTTAATTCACAATTGTGGAAAGTGTTTTTATAAACAATGACTCGCCTTGCCAAGCTGCATTCTTAATGAATTCTTAGTATTCCCAAACATTAATCTGCACTTTAGGCTTCACATTTATTCACTCGTTTTTCTCAGTGTAATCGAAGTAATTGTATGCGCCGCAGGCAAATTCACAAAGTTGAGGTGTATGGAAAATGTTTGCCTTTGCCAGCCAGTGAGGCTGCTGCTCCGCTGTTCTGACCTGGTTTCAATAGCTGCTGCATTCTGCGTTCATTTACTTTCGGTTTGGCCAACGGCAACAACAACAAGCCTTAAGGCAAAGCGTTAGTTAAGCTTGCTGGCTAGTCTTGGTCGGGCAAGGAGCAGCCTGTGAGTTATGCTGCATTGGTTTGGCTGGTTTTTACGCTCTAAGCCATCAGGTTGATGGGTGGTGTACGGAAGTGGTAATTGCAGCATGATTTTCAAGTCATTATAGCAAAAAGCTATTAGCTAGCCACCTCAAGTTGAAAACTTGCTGCCAAACAACATAGCTCAAAGGCGCAGAGAGAAAGTCAAAGTTCAACAGCATGAACTCAAGTGCTGCTGCATTAAATGTAGATACATTGTAGATACATTGTAGATATACTTATGTTCATATTTGTGGAGTGAAAACGCGCTGAAAATTCAAATTGGCTTTAAGTTTTAAAAGGATAAACAGTTTATGAGTAAACACTAAAAAATATACAATATAAAAGCCATAGAACTAGTAATTGCGTTCAAGTAAATATTGAAATATCTAATTGCTTAATTTGATAAAAGAGTGGTTTGATAAAAGCAAGGAAAATACAAATATATTTCCACCTTATACGAAATGAGTTTCTTTCTCTGTATGCATATTTTTATTAATATAAAAAAAAAATAATAATAACATTTCCTGCTCAGAACAAATTAAAGCAGCACCTTGCCTTTATAGCTAGATGCATGTTTTTAAAACTAATTCAAATAATTGGTGACCCCGACTTCAATTCTCTCTGACCAACTTTCCATTAGGTTTTCCTAAAAAACTTATACATAACTCGTATAATAGTGATTCATAAAATGCTAATTTTCTCACTAACGACATTTCCTTGAAGAGCAGTCCACAACACTTTCCTTCAAATGAACGCAAACAAACAATCAAGTCAAAGGCTCGTTAAAGCTGCATCCACAACATTTGTACGAATGCTTGTTTTCCTATAATGCAGCAACAACTTTAATGCTCAGTTTATGACCAACTTAACCCCTTAGGTTGTAAGTCTTTCATGCCCATTTCCCAGGCACATTACGAAACCATTGCCATTACAAAAAAAAAACAAGTCACACAACATAAGCAACTCCATTTCTTAGCCCACAACAAGTCCCGACTGCCTCCTCACACCTCTGAAGTAGAACCATTAAGTGCGTCACGTTGCAGCTGAAGCGAAGCGCTAAAAAAAAAAGCTTGACGCTTATATTCATACACATATAGTACTTGTAGGGCGACATGGGGTCATTAAACCAAAGTCTTGTCACTTGTGGCAGGCAGTGTGCTGTGTGCTGAGAATTGTCGCCTAATTGCGAAACGGGCTGACTCGACTAGTCTGCAGCCTGCTGCCTTACATAATCCAATCAAGCATGCCGCCATGCAACAATCTTTGCAGCAGACGTACTGCGAGTATATAGTAGTAGGTGTAACCCATTTCCCAGAGCGCGCTCACTTTCGCCCACCGACTGACTAACCAAGTTTTGTGACTGCTCATATATTTGCAGTGCTTCCAACAACGACAACCACGCTGTCCCGCTCCAAGCAACGTCTCATCAAAGTGGATTTCTCAAAGTTGCAGGTAAGCGTCGCAGCCACAAGTTGCACCACAGTGGCAGCTACATTTTTATTATCATCTCATCTGGCATTTGCAGGACGACGAACACATCTATGATGAAAGCAGCACCAGCAGCGCATCCACGCATTACGTCGAACCACATCGCTGTTCACAGCTCAAAATGCCGCCATATCCCATTGGCGGCTATATACTGGGCAGCACAGTGAGAGCAGATGGTCCGGCATCTGCCACGCGACCCAGACGCACAAGTAAGTATTGACATATTGACATCATTTCCTATCGCCAACTAGCCACTCGGTACGAAGCTGCACAAAGTATAGAACTTAACACGCACTGAAGCTACTTTTGCCAACTTAATTTTTCTGTTTTTCTTGTTTTGTTTGAAAAGTGGTTTTACTGTTGGATTTAGTTTATTATTATTATATTACACATATCTTTAATGTTAGTTTAAAGTCGCAACTAAGGTTGTTTACAGCCACGATTGTTGAAGTCTTCAGTCAGCAGACTTTGAACGTTGAAAGCTAAAATTTCCTCTATAGCTTCAATTTTTTAATTTGCAATTTATAAATGAAATTTACTTTATTAATGTAGTATCTGAGATAAGGGAGAGTTATTAAGTTAATTACTTTAATTTTTCTTTTTCTTTCAATATAATTCATAAATATATTTTATTTTTATTTTATATTATTTTTTTATTTTATTTTATTTATATATATATATATTATTTTGCAACAATTAACTTCGAATTCAGGTATTGATTTAAACACAGATTAATCAGATCAATAATCATAATCATTTCGGTTGACAATACAATTTTTTATATAAATACTTGAACAAAACTTGAGAGAGAATCCACCTTTTTTTTTCTTAATTTAAAAGAATTAACTCTTAATTCTAACACTTTCTATTGTTTGTTGAAACTGTTAAGAAATTATTTTTTCCTAAGAATGCTAGCATTGTTAGAGTTTTCCATTAAATATACATATTTTGCTATTTCGATATTTTGCAACTACAAATCTCAAATATTACCTTAATACATATCGTCTTTAAATATGAATGAAAAAAAAGAAGGACTTTCTTAAAAAAATGGACAAGCTTTCTGCATTTCTTCATCTTTGTTGAAACTAATTTTTTTCGACATTTGTGTCCATTTTCGATTATTTTTCTTCACTAGAGTTACTTGAAAGCTTGTGTATACGGCAGAAGTCGAAATTCTGATTCATTTTGACAAATGTGTACAACATTTGAAAGCGTTCTGTTTTTATTATTTTCTTCAAATAGCTAACATGCCGAAAAAGCTTATATTTTGAGAAGTAATAGCAATTGTTTACGATTGTCCGAGTCCAATACTTTCAGAGGCCTATTAAATGCAAAATGGGCTAAGAAATTAACGACAAAGTTATTTCGAATATACCAGCTGTGGCAGAAACGCTAGTAAACATCGAAAAAGATTGTAATTAAGTATTTATGAACGGTACCATTTTTAAAATGTCATTTTTCAAATATTTGTATAACTCTTTCTTTTTCTTTGGAATTCCTTAGTTCTATTAGTAAATTTTCTCCAATTAAATACGCTTATTTGTATACTTATATTTATGCTTTAAATTAATTTATTTTTTTATATCTATAAGCTTCTGTTATGCTTCCTCTTCAGTTCCTTATCTTCCATACTTTGTGCAATTTATTGAACATGCGGCCTTTACTTTTTATTAAGTCTTAACCACATTTATTTAAATTCTCTCTAACTTCGAACGGTTTTAGTTGATTAATTTTAATTTTTTAATTTTTATTTCTTACCTTTTTCGCAACAATCACAAAAATCAAGGTATTTAATTGTTTACTGTGCCTTATTTTTGATACCACAAGCTAATTAATTAATGATGATTTTGTGCAAGTAACGCCACAAATTCAATTGTATTATATTGCCAAAAAAAAAAACGCACTATGAACAAAAAAACGAAAAAGTCCAAGACTTTTGAGCAAAAACTGTGAATGTTGGATGGTGTTGGCCAAAATTGTGGGCGACAATTTTTGGGGCGCCGGTTATGAAAGCACACAACAACACAAGCAAAGCAAACACAACACTACACAACCAACCATAAACTAAAAAAAACAATCTCGAACCTTTTGTTAAACAACACAAAAGAAAAACTGCAAGTTTTAAGAATAAATTATTTACTTAATATACAATTTTGTTTATATTTTTGGTGCTGCATGCAAGAAACTAAGCAATAATACAAAATGTTTTGCTTTCTCTCTAATACTCTTTGGTTGTTGAGCTAATCAAAAAAATATATTGTATTTTCAATTCTTAAATGCAAACCATTACGCTTAAAAACAAATAATTCAAAAAATGCACAAAATGAACAAAATGCGATAAACAAATATAAATACATAAATAAATGCCGCCTGAAAATATGCAACAAAAATATTTGTATGCGGCTAACAGTGGTGGAGCCGCCGCCGCCGCCGCCAGCACAATTGAAGAAGCCACAGCAACAACAACAACAACAAGAACCACAGCAACAACATAGCGACTATACGCAGGATGAATATCACAGATTCTTCGATAACGCCCTGGAATGTAAATATGCGCTCAGAAAATTGCTTAAAATTGTTTCAATGCTTCATTGTGTTGCTTTCTTCATTAGACATGCAATTCAGAAACCGTTTATATCAACTGCAAAATGACTTCATTGTGCATATAGATTTACATTCAAAGAACCCACACACACATACGTACATATATACATGCCTATATAAACATTTGCATATCGCTACTGCTTGCCTGCTTGCTCGTCGCATTCAATATATACTTGAATCGAAAGCCTCCTAATGCCGCTGCCACCCACAACTGTTACTGACATTTAGCTTTAAACAAAATCTTGAATGCGTCGGTTGTTCACATATACTATATATAATACTCGTACATACATACAAATGTATATATGTACAGCTCATATACGTAAATGTAGATGTCGCAATATCCCAATGACGAAGCACTCAATAATTTCTCCATTTCTCCGCTCTGTTCTGTTTTGTTCGTAGCTTACGACCTGGCCACTCAATGCGAATCGCGTCGCGCATCCCTGAGACGTCACACGATTGTCGGTTGTCAGAGCAACTTGGATGAGACGCACTCGATGCCGCCTACACGTCCTGAATCGCGACAGGGTCAGAACAACAGCGATGATGTCAGCGCTACGGAGAAGGTAAGACAAACAAAACATGCGAACAGGAAAGTAGGTTAACTAAAGTGCAGCTTTAAAACTGAACATAAACGATTTTTGCATACGATAAATGCATTCATATTGAGGCTGAAATACGACTTTTTAGATACACATACTATCTACTATATGCTAATATTATAAAGAGCAAAGATTTGATTGTTTGTTTGTTTATTTGAATTGAAATCGCTCTGAAATTACTAGACCGATTTAAAGGATTCTATCATTTTCACTGTCACTGTTGAGAAGCTACACTATCCCCGGTTAACATAGGCTATACATCTAATTCTGTTTTTACACGGTTTTGATTTAACACGACTTGAGAATTAAAAATTGTATTTATGGCTGCATGATTTTATTCCATTTAGCACGACCAAAATAACTTTTTTTACACGTTTTGTTGTTTACACGACTTTTTCTGGAACCAATCTACCGTGTAAAAAAAGAATTAGGTGTATTATATTTGCAAAAAATATAGGGATGCTTACTAAAACGCCAATAATGTAGTTCAAGGTCTAAAAAAATTAGCTGAAAAATTCCTGAACAGCATGCTGTTATTTCAGAATCATCATCGAAACATGATGATGGGGAATATTATTCAAAATAAATTATAAAAAATTACAAATCGAGCGACACTGTGAATAATATCGAAGACATAGTCCATTATCCACAGGAATTTTGAAATTCACTAAACCCTTCTGACTCTACAAGTTGGAATTCCAATTAGCTTTTAAGAAATTTAAGCCCTCCGAGCAAGCAAAATAAACGCTGAGGCTGCTTATTAAGGAATTGCAGAACAATTTAGGTATAGTAACCATTTTCAACGACCCAGCAGCTGGTCAACTAGCTCATACACCGAGATTATCGATGATCTCATTTGATCGACCCATTTAATTTCCAGTAAAAACAGTTTTCGTGTTAACAATGTATTTACAAGTCCCTAGTCCAAACCTTCGAATTAGTAGAGATCGACCTACGAAAGGAATGTTTTACTCATGGCCAACTGTATGTTGACCTATCATGGGACAGATTTCCTGTAAATCAATGGGCGATTTGTGATCGAGCATTACTGAATTCACCTGTGATTTATGATTCGGATAAGTAAAAATGTCAATCAAAATCACAAAACAAAAATCAAATAAATATAATGTTTTAGATTTTTCGATTTTTACACTACTATATAGTCAGAATTTTGTCGTGACCTTTGCGGAAATATATAAAATGGCAAAATTCATCCCAGTAAGCAGAGACTTTTTTTTACCAAAAATACTAAAATCAGAATATTTTATTCTTCACCATCATGACAGAATGCATGATTAAACAAATCCAATGCTACCATAAAATTTAACAAGATGAACAAAGATGTATTAAAAAAGAAATGAGATCATTTTTTATTAAAACAGTCAGCACAAGCGGTCGGCAGAGGCAAATCGACAATCGATAATGACAAATCGCTAAAACCTAATGTGTTTTGCTGCCACAAAAAAAAAACCCTCAAATATCGTTTACAGAGAAGCTCTGACTCAATAAAGATTAAAAAAATTATAAAAAAGAACAACAAATCATTAAAATAATACTATCCAAACTATGCTTATAATTTTACTCTTTTTTAGTTACTCATAGCGAAAAGAAGGGTATATGTGTGTGTGTTATAAAATTTATAATATTTTAAATGTTTGTAAAATACAGGACCCTAGTACTATATACTCAGGTAGAATAAAGCTATGCCTCGACTGAAAACGCGATTTTATAGTTATATCTAAATGTACCTTCTCTAGAGTAGCTCCTAAAAGAGTTTTTCTGAACAATCGCATTTGTTTTTATTCGACAGCAGCTTCATATCAGCAACAACCATAGCCAGCAGCAGCAGCAGCCACAGAAGCGCAGCAAAAGTCCTTTGGGCAACAATAATGAGCAAACGGACTCACAAAGCGATTCAGCATCCTCGCTTGGACCATGGAATAAATCGTTTCTGGACAAACAAACCTGGATGGAACGTGGTGATGATCGACTCTCGGTCACCCTAGAGGAGATCGTCCACATACGTTCCGTCATGACCAAGGCCGAGCTGGAGGGTTTGCCCGTGGACGTGTGCGTCAAGGAGGATGTTGAAAAGCGTAAGGTCTGCTTTCTGTGCCTGCGCACACGTTTCTCATTCTTTGGCCCCTGGGGCATACAATGCAAGCTATGCCAGCGTACTGTGTGCGCCAAATGCTACACAAAGGTGAGTGAGAATCCAAAAAATGAGTTGGCAACCGTACTAATATCGATTTACAGATGCGCATACCCTCGGAACATTTCCGCAACGTACCCCTGGTGCTCATATCACCATCGCTGCTGTCCAGTCCGGCCAGCTCGAGCACACCATCGCCATCACACCACGCCGCTCACCAACCACACTCATCATCGACGGGCAACATTATGGACGATCAGTTCCCCAAGTCCCTGATTGAGCGTCTGCTGCGTTCCGAGTCAGATCGTAAGGTGAGCTCAAAAGCTAGAAGTTGAATTGTTTGACGACTATTCGAAATATTAAAGAACTTTGGCAATTAAACAATATGTGAATTCTTCTTTGAATGCAAATCAGTGAACCAAACCGAAACCTATTACGAATATTTGGAATCGTTTCGAATTTCACTTTAACTTGAAAGCGATATTGAAATAAGTAAGAGCTTGATTTCCAAAGTAGATTTAATAAAATGTCTTAATTCTCAAAAGCTAGAACGATTCGAAATTTTAAAGAACTTGGGCAATTAAACAATTTTTATTTCTTCTTTCTTCTTAACTTAAACTTAAAAGCGATATTGAAATAAGTAAGAGCTTTTTTTTCAAAGTAGATTAAATAGAACTAGTCAAAATTTTAAAGAACTTTCGCAATTAAACAATACTTTATTTCTTCTTTGAATGCAAATCAGTGAACCAAAACGAAACTTAAGGAAAATTTTGCCTCATTTCGGATTTCACTTAAACTTAAAAGCGATATTCAAAATAAAATAAAATATCTGGATTTTCAAAAGCTAGAACTATTCGAAATTTCAAAGAACTTTGGCAATCAATTAAAGCACAATTTGTGAATAATTTTCTACTACTAGCTGCTTTGTGCGTTTAAATATAGTTTTCGAGTCGAAATATAAAACAATTCAGACATGCAAACTGTATTTCGAAAAAAGATTTGGAATTGTCTTCGTTTTACACACTTTTTATACTTAAGGTTTTTTTTTAAAAGATCCTCCATTTTAAATTTGTAAAACCATATTTTAGTTTCAAAAACATTTTTTTGAGTTCCGTGAAAATCCGACAATAAACAATCTCAGTTCTAGAAACTTTTCTGTATTCGAAATCTAAAGGAGGGTTTTCTGTTAAATGTAACAGTAATTCCAATTATCGCTTACGATTATAACCTTTCAACTAAGCACCTTTAAATTTCGAAATATACTTGTATTAACACATTGACTCTGCTATCAAATTTCAACAATTAGTGTATGTGCGCAGTTCTTTATAGTGCCATTATGAATTTTGAAAATGTGACTACAAATCAGCGCTCAAAAACTCCTGAATTTCAATCTTTAACTAAATTCGTTTAAAGTTTCAAAGTGTTTTAAAGCATCTGGAAAAGGTTTGAAGCAACGGCGTCTCAATTATCGGTTATGATTGCAATCCATGTCCCAGAACGTCTTAAGAGTTTCAGTTTTTACAGTTTTAAAAGCTTTTCCATGTAATATTAGTTACAGTTATTGATTAAGGATAGAAACTGTAAAAGAGGCAACTTTCGAAGCTACGATTTCCATATCGTACTTATCGTAAATATTTGGATTCTTTCAGACTCGCTGTACAGTGGGCAGCGCACCATCATCACCGAAGCACCAAAGATCAAATATGAGCACGCCGGGCATCACGATGGGACCGGGCGCTGCTGCGGCAGCCGCTGCTGCTGCTGGCCAGGCAGTTGAGGCTCTGCACGATCAGACATCGATGTCTGCCTCATATACGGCGCCGATGCGACCCACGGCCATGCAACAGCATCAGTCGAAGCACTACAACATTATGTCGCGCAGCATGGAGGGACCGCGTAGTCTGCCGGTGCACAGTCCGGCGCACAGACCGCTCTCCAATAGCAGTACCTTGGAGCGCAAGTAAGTGGCGGCCTTCAATCTATTTCTTTACCACAAAACTAAACTCTGTATATCCTCATTGTTTGCAGATCTCGTTTTTCGCGCGGCTTTACATTCTTCTCCTCGGGCAGCCAACAACTGGCTGGGGAGCAGAAGGAGAATATGCGTGGGGAGGAGGTGACCGTTTGTCGGGACTGTCAGGGCCTGGTTAACGAAATTACCAGCTCGGCGAAGCAGAAGCGCTCCTCGGCGCGCAATCGCACGCTACAGAATCTCACATTGGATCTGACGCCCGTTTGGAAGTAAATAGGCGTTATCCATGGAAAAGGAATGAAAATAATAAATCTATACATATTTTGGAATGACTGTTGTAAACATTAGAAAGCATAGGGAATGTTGTATATCGTGTTGAAAGCAAAACCTATATATATATATATACCTATACATACTATATACTATACACACCTAGGATATTAAGTACGCGAAATTGATATTAGCCGAGAAAAAGCAGCGCTGTAAATTCTTCTTCTATCTAAAAACAAAAACAAAAAAACAAACAGCTTAAGCGCACCCCACCACATACCCAATACGGATACGATATAATATTAAATACGATGGCAGGCTATGTTGTTTGTAATTTGTTTAATTTATGTATAAATGTTATAATAAGTATCTGACAAGCACCCAGAACAACAACTAAAACGTACACACACACACACAGAGAACGCAAACACGAACTACAAGTATGTACCCATATATGTAGAGTATTCGTTATATACTCGTATTCAAAACACCCCCAGCTATCTATATACGAGTATAGTTTATGTTTGGAAAAACATTCCATGTTCGGTATTTATATAAATTTTAATTGCATTTTTAAAGCCTCTCTCTCTTTGGGTTGTTCTGAAAATCAATCTAAAACCAAATTGTTGTGAAGATAATAGTGCTTGCATTATTTTTTGTATTCCTCGTCTTCGTTTAATGTTGAATGTAAGTTTTGTTCAATTCAACTCACGATAATTTGAATAACAACTAACATAGCTTAAAGCAATTCTTGCACAACCCTACTAAAACAAACTTTGTTGCTTACTTGATCAATTATGTTTAGGCTTACACTGTTGGTATTTATTTATAGCATTTACACTTAACTCTAATTTCAACGCAAACTATCCAATTATTGTAAAATTATTTTGGATGCGATTAAGTTTTCTTCCGCGACACTGAATACTGAACTTAATTGCATCCAAAATAAATATTTATAAGTATGCGAATTGTTCAAGTGTTTTGGAATAACTATTTGGAAAATTTGTTATTTGTAAAGCATTTATTAATTGTAATTATTGAAGTTAAATTTAATTTTTTTATTATTTCTAAGCTGATTTTCATATAACTAAAAGAAACACATACACACAGAAACACACAAAACACAATGAAAACGAAGCTACACAGAAACACAGAACAGCAATAAAAAATCAAATAAAAACTACTAAAAGTATAAACACTTCTCTGTTTTATTATTATTATTGTGTGGCGATTTCTATGCCCCCTCAAGCTTTAATCTAAATATCTAACCTTATACTAGATATTAATCTACCATGAACTTATTATGTTTTCTTTAGTATGAAGCTTTGTTTTTGTTAATATCTATGGAAATTTGCTTGATTTATATTTTTAAAAGCTCTTGAAAAAATATTTCCTTTACATTATTTTTAAATTTGTTATGATTGTTTATTTCTATAGAAAAAACTTTCCTTTGATGTATGATTTTCTTCTCTTCAAAATAATTGTGCCGACCAGTGTATGTACTTTATTCTCAAGCTTATAATACTCCATGCGTCAAAAGATCTCTTCAAATTTTCCATATAAATATAATTCTGAACAGCACTACATTAATACTACGATTCAAAACCGTCTCCATTTTCTGCTGAAATAATATATTCCCCTCTAAACACCAAGTTCTTTTTTTGGAAATTTGAATTGCGACGTCAGAGTAATGCCCAAAACATTTTGTTTTTAGTTAAGACATTTATTTATTTTTAAATTTATATCAATTTGAAACAAAATTTACAATGTTTGCTTCAGTATATAAAATAAATAGAGTTCCTCTCGTTTCGTTATGTATTTTAAACAAAAACTTACACATATTTTCCTCGAATATGCATATCTATCTCTCGTAGGCGCACTAGCCATGGTAAGTATCTCTATATGTAGGCGTAGAGCACGCAACGCTTAAGGTTATTTCAAAACTAAAACAAAAGAATGTCCATTTACAGCGCCTTCCGATGGCCATATAATGAAATCTGAATGCCTAATGCTAACACTACTAGATCTAGTTTTCTTTTTCTTTTTTGCATAGTCTACTCTGGGAAGACCATTATAACTAGGCTTATGCGAACATTGAAAATCTTGTAATATTAATATATTGAAAATATCCACGTGCTGTGGATAAAACCCACAAAGCTAGATAATTTTCGCCTTTCACAGTACACTTTTAGAATCAATCAACCATTTAAAATTGTGATTTTGATGCTTCGTATAAGCGTAGAAATGTGAGTCTAGTCCCCACGTGCCTTTTTATTTTTATAATTGTTGTCGTTTCCGCGTTTGCGCCCAAAGCGCTTGTTCTTATTTCGCGAGAAATCACGACGCTTCTTCATGAATTCAATGGCCTTATCCAGGAACTCTTTTTCCTCCTCTTCGGTGGCTTTGCGAAGCGTCAGTGAGACATCGTCGTTTAGCTTGATCTGCAATTGGAAGGAGATATATAATAGAAAAGGCTCTCTTGCATTTTTACTAGCTATGTAACTCACCTTGTTTTCAACCTTTTCAATGAACTTGTCGGCTGAATCGGCCTCGGTGAGACGCACAGCGCCCTCGGTCTGGCCCTTGTTGAACTCGATAAAAGCGACATCGAAGCCCTCTGTCTTGCCAAAGACCTCACGCAGCTCTTCACGTGTTGTGGTGTCCAGAGCCCCCGAAAACATAACAATGGCATTCTTGGGCAGTTCGATTTCGGGCTCTGGCTTCGATTCTTTCTTGTTCTTGCGCTTCTCATTTTTGCGCTGATACTCCTCCTGTTTCTCCTGCAAATATTCCTTCTGCCATTTGCGCAACAGTTCGCGCTCCTTATACACAACCTTGTCCTTAGCCATGAAGGCCTTGGCCTGATCCAGGGTCTCGAATGTAACAAAAATGCTGCCCTTGAACTTGTACGACTTGGTCGTCTTGTCCAAATACTTGCGCATGGTGATGTTGCACACCTTTTCGTAGACACTAAAATAATCTAGAATGTCTGCTATCTGCGAGTCTAGCGGAAAGCCTTTGGCGTAAGCTGTGCGCTCTTGTATCTCCTTGCGTCGCTCCTCGTTGTGTTCGGGAATGGGGCGCTCCGGATGGCGACGCAAGCTCTGCTTGTCATCGCTAATCTCCAGCAGTCCCTCATCAGATTTGACCAGCGCATTAATGATTTCCTCAAAGTCTGTGGTGAGTGCGGCCAAACGCTTAAAAGTGACAAGCACGGTGAGCGGAACCCAGCCGTCCTCGTTTTTCGAGATTTGCTCGCGCAAGAACTTGTCGCGATTGAGATTGGCGTCGCCAAAGTAATACTCGACCTGTCGAATGATGGCGCGCTCCTTCTTTTCACCAACCAGCTCTGGCTCCTTGTCCTCCCCTGCAGCGGGCGCCGCATCGGCTTCAGCATCTTTTTTACCGGCTTCAGCATCTGTTTTACCGGTTTCAGCCTCTGGCTTGTCCTTTACTTCCGCTTCCGGCACAGTGGGTTCCTCGATCTTTCTCTTTTTCTCAGCTGGAGCGTCGATATTTACAGCTTCTGCAACGGCGGCCATTTTCGTAATATAATGCTTCAAGGTGTCCAATTAGCGTTGGATTTTAAGAGTAAAAGCGACCGTGGTCAAACACGTGTGCGCGTAGTTGAGAGATGAGCAATGCTTGCCGATACACGCGGATGGACAGTGAGACCCAATCGGTGTGACCAACATTACTCGATAGTCGACTACGCTGCACGTTGACCAACACTAATATGGCGCCTTAAGTTTGAATTTGTCAAGGTGCTGTCGAAAATGACAACATAGATTGTATGGTTAGTAGTTTAACTACGTCCTTGTTAATTTACAAGTAATATATTCCAAGGAATATAAAAGAGCTTGAGATTAGAAAACCTGATCACTCAATTAACCAAAAACCTTTATTTGGTAAACTTGATAATTGGCACAGAAGTAAGTTTATTAAAAAACACTAGTTATTGATTTATTACACTAACATACAACATTTCCAAACTATCCTCGATATATTAAATATATGAAGACAATCTAAAAGGAAGATATTGGGTGGCAGAAAATTGTCTGACTGTTAAAAAGAAGAATAAAATGTGATAAATGATAACTCGTTCAGCATCAACGCAATTCATAGCACTGTTGCAACGGCATTGGCATCACTTCAAAATATGTATTTAACAAATAAGGCTACACTGGTCCTGCTTATCGATGTGTTCGATAGATCGATGTTTATAGTTGCTGCATCACTAGAAAAAAGCAAAACAGCGAAAAACAGAGTACAAAACGGCAGTTTCTATGTTAAATTTAGTGAAGTCGCGTGTTTTGTTAATACTTCTATGTGTGTGCGAGCGAATATAACCGAAAAATATACGATTGCGTATTGCTAGCATGCAGCCTCGCTATATATAAGCAAGGTAGAGCAGCAGCAGCAGCGGTCGGTCGAAGCGGGAGCGCCACATTACTCATCCGTCTATTTCTGCGAGCCAAAACGACAACGAACGACCAGCAAGCAGTAGGCAGAGGCGCAACAAATGTTTGCTAAACCGCGACGCCGCGGTGGCCAGAGTTGAAGGTGAGTTAATAGCGCCAGACGGCCTGGCAGCGCCCCAGAACAAGATGACAACGATGACTCAGAAAGAGTTCATAGTTAGGCAAAGTTCAGTGGCATTGCAGTCCCCCCAACGCTGCACCCGCCGTCTATGTCGCCCTTCTCGATGCGTCACCCAAACGTAATGCAACACTTCGTCCCGCAACTGCAGCTCCAAATGAAAATTCTATGACAAATAGAGCAGTCGGTTGTTGGAGACGCGATACCGACATCGGCATCGGCTGGCGCTTCAGTGTCTGCATGCCGCCGACCTTCATCCCTCCCCTGTGGTTTTGTATTGTTGGTGCAATGGAAAAAGAAGTAATTTCAACACATTTCTTGCCTGCTTTTCTGCTCTCTACTCTCGGGGCATGCATGCAACATGCACCAGCAATTGTAATTTATAGCCAGCAACCGCGCAGGAGTCTCCTTTGTACACTTACAGTGCTCGCCACTTGAAGTTGCAGCCCGAGGCGATTGCAATGGCAAAGGCAAAAGGTTGTAAAGGTTGAAGTGCCGCACTTATGCTGCATAATCCATAGGGTCAATAACAGGCAGCTGTCTCTGTCGAAGTTCCAGTCTTTCGCACTGCCAGGCAGACATAAAAACTCTCAAACATATCCACGAGTAAATACTAAGTATATACATACATGTACATATATACGTAAGTATGTACTGCAAGTGGATGTACTCTGCCCGAAACGTGTGTCTAGGTGCAAGTATTTGTTTGCCTGCTAGCTGGCCTTTTTTTTTGCTCTTTGTCACCCCCCATCGAAGCGCCCGGCACGTTTCCCCAACCCCAGCACAATGTCGCCAACAATTTTGAATCATTGCCAAAAAAGAATTGTGTGCACACACGTATATTCACACTTATAATCAGACTATATGCCGATTTGCTTGTTTGTATCATTCACATAAACTATCAGAATGTAATTAAAATCTGGGTTCTATAAGTCCTAGAGGATCAGTCTAACAAACCAAAAAAGGCTATCATTTTAAAAAAGTTCCCTCTACGTTGTTGTAAATATCGAATAATTACTTGACTTATGTGTATTGTCGGAAATAATCAAATATTTTTTTAATCATAAAAAATTAGTTTTAAAATCGGTATATTTTTATATATATTAGAACATAAATAAATGAATTTCTCCATTCTATTGTTAATGTCGAAAGTTCTTGCGTTGTTTAACAATTTTAATTAAATATTGATGAAGTATATTTGAACTTATTACAATAAATTCTTCAAAATTTATTTTTACGAATTTTTAGTAAATATGTACATATATTTGCAATTCAATTTATTTAGTAATTAAAATTCACGGATTTCCCATTTGCTATATTTAGGCATTCTTTAAAATCCATTTTCATGATTTCGGCATCACTCTTTAATGATTTCAACAGCTTGGCAGCTATCCATATTATTTATTTTTAATCGTTGTTTATTTTTTGTGCACATTTTTGCGTTGCTTTATGTTTTTGCGTTTTAATGAAACCATTTAGCATTACCAATATATATTTCCCTAAAAGCAAACAAAACAAACTCGAACACATCGCAAAGTCATGCGCTCAACGGCTAACTAAAACACATTTCATTTCACTGTTGACCTCATTTCGTGAAACGATATATGCCGCAATTTGTTAGCAATCCAATATTTGAATATTCTATGTATTTTCATATGCCACACGAACCAAGAGAAGCAACAACAGCAACAGAAACAACTTCAAAGAACCCTCAATATACTGGGCTGCCAATCATATTAAATTATGAAGTGCGCGCGTGTCTCAATAAACACACAAACACGGCATCACAGCATCTGTTGGCCGCCCACCTCTTTCAATCACAGTGATAGCAACAACAACTTCTTCCACTTACAACTCGACAACTCGCACATGTCAGTCGCTATAAATAGTCATGCAATCAAATTATATTATAGCCATATATCTTCTGCCACACGAAATGCATCTCAAGTATTGAAACCCAAATCGTTGCGCACCGGCCATGACAAGATATTACCGCCATAGAACTGCATAAATTTGGTTTATCTTCTCCCTTCTCACTTCTTCTTTGCTCCCCTGCTTCATGCCATTATTGTTGTTGTTCTTTGCAAACAAAACAAATTTTTTGTATACTTTTCATTTTGTAGTGTTAGTTTTTCGACAACGTCGCATCTTTTAACATACACCTCTCAGACTGCATTTGAGGAAACGCTGCACAGTGGTGCAAAAAACGATGTATAAATGCACACTTTAGGATGAAATTCATAGATTCAAAGAAGACGTTCCCTTTATGTTTCATTATGAAAAAAATGAAAGCCGCTTTTAAAACTTTTAATTCTTTTAAATCTTGATTTTGAAAATGGAATGTTCTTAATACTCGTGGTTTAGCTTCAGTTATAAAATTTTCTTGTTTTTATAATGCATTTTATCTTTTTTTTAAAGTATTTGATTAGATACTTCGATTTGACTATTTCTATGAGGTTGGGTTAAATCCATCTCCTTGATTAGTCCACTTAAATATAAGCACGTAAATTATAAAATTTGACAAGTAATGGACACGTTGATTCATGCTTTTGAGCCCTGGAAAGGTAGGGCGCTTGGTGAAGTTCGAATCTGGCGCCAAACCGCTATGCATTTAGTTGCAGCTGCTTGCTGTTAGGAGAGAGGAAATATAAAGCCATCCTAAAAATATCAACAGGTCTTTCAACAAAATTAAAAATATTCGCCTAAATCGGCTAGAAAAGTGCAACTACTTTTTCATCTCTGAAAGTTGAAAACTGTCCCACTGTGGCACCCTCGCGTGCATTTGTTTACATTTTTAGTTGATTTGATTTTGTGGCTTTGTCGCCAACGCGAAAGTCGCCGACGTCTTTGCCACAAAACAGACGGCGTGCATTTTGAAAAAGCAAAACCGATTTTCCGTTTCGGTTTTTCTCGTCAAATTGCGCACTTCCGGAAGCACAGCATCATTTGCCATAAAAACAGATTTCGAATGACAGACCTTAAAACATAGCGCTCTCTCTATAACACATATGTGTGTATAATTTGTGTGTGTGTCGTTTCTGCTGCAGTTCTTCAATCTTTTCCATCTGTTGCCGGCGCCGACATATGCAAGTTTAATGAATTAATTAAAATTTCTGTGGCATGGCTGCGACTTTGGCTTTGTTAATGGGTGTGTGTGTGGTTTTTTTTTGTGATGAGTGCCATGGCATGACCTCAGCAAGCGTTATTCCGAGTGCTGAACGACACAATGAATGAAGAACCACCTACAGAAAATTATTGTGTTCGCTGTGCTGAGCGATCTCAGGGTTACATTTTGGGGTTGTGACAATTAGTGAGTTAGATAAATGAGATCGGAACAAAGCCCGCAAACATGTCACTGTTTGCACACACATACTACATACTCGTTAAATACCACGTAATAGATGAAGATCAATGTGAAAGTCATGTATTCTATGAAACTACTTATTTGAATTTGAACATTACAATGTAGTTTTGTAGAAATTATGTAGTTATACAGTGTTGAATCGATATAGTTTGCCTTATGTAATAATTTGTCTTCCCGTTTAGCTTACCTTTAATATAGAATTTTGTTATAAATTGTTTAATATTAAAACGAAATTTCTTTAACATATAAATGGACCTCTATTATGATTAGGAGAATCTGCATACCAAGTGTGGTTGCTGTACTCCTTAAACTTTTTAAGATAACAGCGTTCATACAGACAGACAGTTAGACAAACAAACAGTCAAGTCTGTAACAACTGGACTCCTCTTCCACTTTCATGTAAAGTACAAAATTTGTTAATTTAAATAAGTTAGTCCTCTATAACTTTTAAATAAAGTTGTCATGAAAGACATTCTTAATCAGAACTTTGTGGCTATTTCTTTTCTAATCATTTTCGCAACAGAGAACTATTTAAAGAGCTCTCACAAATATATTTTACATGTGTATTCTTTTCTATCAATATAGGTATTTTAAATCGATTACTAAGCCCATAAAAAGAGCGTTTTGCAAACAACAACAATAAAAACAGAAAATATATGTTTCTTGGTCATAAAATGTTTACACCTTTTTTGAGAAAACATATGTACTCGTATATGTTGATATATCTAGGTATCTGAAGGCAAATAAATGCCACAAACGCACGAGCTAGTGACAATATTTCTCAATGAATTTCTGGCAGAAATAAAAACGTTCCAATCCATACACCCCCGCAGTTAAAAGTTTTTAAGAACGAGCGTGCTTCATCGAATTTTTTGAAATTAAATCGGGCGTTTGTCATGCGATTTTTTTAAAGATTCCATCTACCTATATGAGAGATGAATCCGTTCATAAATATATGTAGGTACTAAGTATAAAGCAATCTGCGCTCTCACAGAAAATGCTGAGCACCTTGCCTGCCCCCACTGGTCAGCGACTGAGGGAGCGTCTATAGCTATGGCGGCCAAAAATCCGGCAGCCATTTGTCTGTTCTGTGTCCCCAAAGCCGTCGCCATCGCCATCGCAGTTTCGTGAAAGCAATGAACGCGTGCGGTGCATCTTTTGAGAGCAGCGGCGAAAAACGGCAAATTTTCGTACGACAATTTTTTGTTGGAAAAGTATATAATCCGCCGAGCTATACAAATAATATATAGCCATATAACTTAGAAATATGTACATATATACGAATAGATGCATGTGTGTTTGTTTTTGTGGCTAAAAAGCCAAGGAATTTTTATGAGTATAGTATTTGTGCTTTTGAAAAACGGAATATATATGTGAAAATGATAAAAGCATCTAAATTTTGCAACAAAACGTGACCTTGCCTAGCAAATTAAGTTTTTGTTTAATTATATTCCTAGTAAGCCAACTGCGGGAATACAAATATTTCTAAAATATACTGTTATAATTTTTGTGTAATAAAATTCCGAGAAAGCAACTGCAGGAATACGAATATTTACAATAATTATTGGTCTGCCAAATTGTCAACACACTTCGACAGCGTAATGGAACTTGTTCTTTGGCAAGTCTGTCCCTAAATACAAAGTTGTACATATATACTATATAGTCGTCTACAAGTATAGCCCGAGTATAAAGCGCAAAAACACGTCAAAATTTATATTTTTGTCAGATTCTTATTTTCGGATGAGAATTTGTGGGCAAAAAAATCATGTTTTTCATATTTTAGCGCTTATTCATTGCAGGAAAAGTATGATTAATGCTCCGACATAGACATACTTAAAAAGATAAAAGATGCTGAGATAGACATGTTTACACTACCGATTAGTAAAGAATGTTTACGAGTAGCATAAAATGTGACTTGTGCTTCTTAAAGTAACTTTAACTATACCACAAATTATAGCTCTAAGATATTATAGTTCTATAAAATATTAAGTGATGAGAAATATCTTTGAGTGCTCGACTATCCAGCCAGTTTTTAGAAATACGCAATGTATTCATTTATACGAACTGTAATGTGAACATGCTGCCTACGTTTCTAATTTGCATTGCTTTCGATAATTCTAGAACCACATACCTTTAGAATGGCACACAATAGGTACGCCCTTAGCTCTAAAAAAATAATAATATGTAATATAATAGATTCTTGACAATCGAATAGCGTTTATGTTTCAGAAATTTGAACTTTTTAGCAATTTTCAGTGCATCTTCAACTATCAAACCTATTCACATTCTCGAATTCGATCTTACGGGTATCATGTAAAATAATACTTGAGTGGCTACTGAAATACTAGGATTACTTCAAAGTCAAACAGTAGAGAGGGAATACATGATTTCCAGAGTTCTTGTAAAAACTCAAGGGATTTGCGGAATTGCAAACCATTTTCGATTTCACTTATATTTGGAATCCATAAAACCACTAAAAAAGAAACAGCTTCTTTGCATTTTAAGTGCAGAACATCCTTTTAACTGTATCCATTGTTGCATTTAAATTTTTCTGTTGCTATATTAAGATATATACCCTAAAAGTTCATTGACGTTTTGTGGCTGAGATATTATAAAAACATTTTGTACAAACCGCAATATATTAAAAGGAAGGGAAGACTGAAAATAGCTATTTTATGTTCAGTTTTCTGCACATATTCCTCTCAGAAAATGCTTAACACATTTTTCTATTGAGAAATATACGAGTACTGTAATAAGATTTTGGTTTCATGGTGATTTGCTACACGAGGTGTTTTACAAGATTTCGAATTCTTAAAACTCTTGAGTGATTTTTGAGTATTATATTTGTATCGCCCCATAAATTTGCTCGCGGCCCGTTGTGCTTGATTTATAACTGCTGAGAGCATAAAACTTATAGAAATGTACAAGTAGATACAAAAATGTGTTATTTTTTATAGTTTTGTACATAAATCTGACGTCTCTATCGGCACATTTCGTAATCGGACAATTTTAAAATTTATTTGCTGTCTTCTCCCCCAAATAGTGTTTATTCCTTAATGGCTTTCTGTTATTATTTTCTTTTCGCTGACCTTGGCCATCGACAGCCAGCGCCATTTTACGACCACGAAGCGTGTCCAGGCAGCACTTCCACAGACCCCATGAAATAATGCTAGCAGGAAAAAATGTCGTGCACCGAGAGTATTTTAGCTTAGAAAACAGATGTTGCCTAAATGTTTGGATCATAATACTTTTTGGCGATCGCTAAAAAGCAATGGAATTTTTATCGGTGTTGAAGGAATAATGTGTGGGTGGCAACTGCCGGGTGGAAAAAGAAAATGCAAGAAAAATCTATATTAAGAGCTGAAAAGTGTGCCCAACAGAGTAGAGAGACGACATGTGCTCTCCTGAAATCGTACAATGTCGAGTTTTCACATAATATTTTGTTGTCATCAGATTTTGCACGCTATTGCTGATTTTTCAAGTTCAATGCTCATCGCTCTGCGTTCTTGTCTCACTTTCTTGACCCACTTGCAGTTGAAGCAAATCGAACGCAATTGTGAAAGGCCGTGAGTTGTGGAACAGCTAGAGCAGCGGATAAAAGGACAGCAGCGACATGATGGAGCAACCATTGGTAGTGCAGGCTGAGTACTCCTTCATGGGCAGCAACAACGACGAGTTGTGCTTCAAGAAGGGCGACCTCATCACAGTGACACAGCGCGAGGATGGCGGCTGGTGGGAGGGCACCCTCAACGATAAGACTGGCTGGTTTCCCAGCAACTATGTGAATGAATACAAGTCGCAGCTGCCGATTGTGGAGACCATCAGACCGCCGGAGGAGATACAGGAATATCGTTCGGTGGTGCTCAAGGACTTGCTGGATTCGGAGCGTGCGCATGTCGCTGAACTGCAGGGCCTGCTGGAAAACTTTCTGGAGCCTATGCAACAGACACAAATGTAAGTGCAACACTTCAGATTTATAAAGATATACTAATTGAAATATGCTCTGTAGACTCAGTCAGGATGAGTACGCGCAGCTGATGTGCAACTTTGTGGAAATTGTGAAGACACATGAGGAGCTGCTGCAACAAATCGAGGACTGCAACGATCGCGTAGGCAAGCTCTTTTTGACAAGCGCGCCGCTTATGAAGAAGGTCCATCAGGCATATTGTGCGGCACATCCGAAGGCCATAGTCATATTGGATAAGTATAAGTGAGTAAGCGAAATATAAAATTCAAAAAAATGCGCCCAAGCACAAATTAAATTGCTACTCAAGACATGCATTCAAAAGAGGATGATCAACAATATTTTCTCTTGTTATAAAAAATAAGCTATTACGACTATATAAATGAATCGGAAAGACATGAGGGCTGGAAGAGATAAATAAATGAGGAGAGACTTACGACTAAGAAAGATAGAGAGCTATTACGAACTATATAAATGAATCGGAAAGCCATGTAGGCTGGGAGAGACATAAATTAGGAGAGACTTATAGACTAAGAAAGATAGAAAGCTATTACGAACTATATAAATGAATCGGAAAGACTGAGAGATTTAAATAAATTAGGAGAGACTTACAGACTAAGAAAGATAGAGAGCTATTACGAACTATATAAATGAATCGAAAACACTGGCAGAAATAAATAAATTAGAAGAGACTTGCAGACTAAGAAAAATAGAGATAGAAAGTGAAATTCGTCAGAACGCATCAACTTAGATCCTTCTTAGATTTCTTAATCGCAGTAGGGGGCTGTAGTTACCCATTTAGTAAAGACACTAACTAACTAACAAATTAATGCTATACAAGGCAGTGATGCCACAAAAAAGTTTTTAATTTGTTTGCTTTTAAAAATCTGCTTGTGGAACCATCACTAACACTTATCTATTCACAGAGATGAGCTGGAGAAGTATATGGAACGACAGGGTGCTGCCACGCCGGGGCTGCTTGTCCTAACCACAGGCCTTTCTAAGCCCTTTCGCCGTTTGGACAAATATTCGGCGATGCTGCAAGAACTGGAAAGGCACATGGAGAGTAGTCATCCAGATCGTGGCGATACACAACGCAGCGTGGCAGTCTATAAGGATATAGCAGCCACTTGTTCGGCTACGCGACGTCAGAAAGAGCTCGAGTTGCAAGTGCTTACTGGGCCAGTTCGTGGTTGGCAGGGCCAAGAGCTTAGCACGCTCGGAGACATCATTCACATGGGCAGCGTAGCTGTGGGTCCGGATCATCGTGATCGTTACTTTGTGTTGTTTCCACAAACGTTGCTAATACTGAGTGTTAGTCAGCGCATGAGTGCCTTTATATACGAGGTGAGTCCCTTACAAGGCAAATAGAGAAAATTAAATAAGGGATAATGAATGTGTGATCTTTCCAGGGTAAGCTGCCGCTTACGGGCATAATAGTGAGTCGTCTGGAGGATACGGATGCACTAAAGAATGCCTTTGAGATCAGCAGTCCACTGATCGAGCGCATTGTCGCCGTTTGTCAGGGGCCCAATGAGGCCAACAAATGGGTGGAGTTACTTACAGCCAACAATCCCAGTCTGCCGATGGGCATCAAGCGTCAACTGAGCAACCTAAGCAACTCCTCGCTGGGCGGTGTCAATCAACTGAATGCGGCGCATGTAAGTGTAGAAATTTTTATTTTAGCATCAAATATATATTATTATTTCAAATGTTTGCCCACCCTTTGAAAATCGCGTTCCATTGAGCAGCTAAATCAGCATTTGGACTCGCGCGGCTATTGCACGCGCTTCTCGCTCTGCGCCTATTATGCCACACCCGAAACAAACTCCAATTCCACCACCATGAGGAACTACCGCATAACACTGCCGCCTAGCAATTACCCACCAACAGCGCCCTACGCCAACCTCAGTGCACATTTTGCTCGACTTGTGAAGGCCGGCAAGTTGCGGGGAGCGATTGTGAAGATGCTGCTCTATCCGCAGGCACGTCAGAGCATTGATCTCAAGCGGATTGCGTTACGCAAGAAGCGCTGCCACAAGGCTTCCAAAGCTCTTAAGGATCTCAATGCCAATGCGGACTCCGCACAATCGGAGCTGGAGCGCCAGGATGCCTTTGAATTTCCCACTGACTCAGAAAGTATAGAGGATGACTTCGACGATGACGAAGATATAGATGTGGAGGCCTGCGGTTCCTGTGATTCCGATCCCTTAGAGTACATTAAATTCTATCAAAACAAACACGATTCCATTTACAACTCAACGGGCACTTTTGTGGATCATGGCCCGGCCCAAAGACATTGCTCTTCAATCAATTTAATCAAACTCGATTCAGAAAGCTTGGATGCGGATGCAGTGCAGGCACAAAATGAGCTCAAGAAAGAGTCCTTGGTTATTGGTTCGACGGCTTTACGCGCGCTAGCCCGTAGATCCACACAACGCAACTCCAGTGTGCACACCTCGACGGCAACATTAGAAATTGGAGGGGCGAGCATAACCAATTGCATGGAAGAGGAGCAGGAGGAGGATTTGGAGTGTGAATCTTTGTTAGGCAGCAGCAGTGAGTCCACAAAGCCTGTGTTATCGCTACAGCAACAAAGCTCTGATGCTTCCTCGGCTTACGGCGCGCGTCTGGGAGGCGCTTTCACGGCTTGTGAAAATTTAGCCAACATGCCCGATGATCTCAGCTTAAAGCGCGATACAAAAGAGGAAGCAGTCGCGCCATTAGATTCACCCACGGAACGTCATAGTATGCCATGCATATTTGTGGGAAATCGCTTTAATCGTTGTGAGAATACCGAGGTCTATGTGCCCAACTGGCGTGAACGCAAGGTCACGCAAAATCAGAGTGTGGACATGCAGTTGGATGGGGAGCAAAAAGACGGACAAGCACAGAACAACCAGGAGGAAGGGATGCACTCAAGTACCATGGATTTACCAGCAGCCTGTCGTACAGCGCCCGACACACTGCAAGCCGAGCTGCTCTACAACTATGAAGCGAACGTGCTGGATCAGAATCCAACCACAGCGCCTGTGCTGCGCCTGCAACGTGAGGTTTCCCCTTTCAAGAGGCATGCACTGAACTCAGACAAGCGTGTCTCACATAAAAGTGACAGTCCCAGCACGGGAAATGTTAAGCACGACTCGAGAAACTCAAAAGTGCTCAGCAGCTCCACCACCGAACTTTGCATAGAAGCCAGCTCGAGGAAGCGTGAGCCGCCTGCCGAACGCTCCCGTGATTCCATACGTCGTTGCATTAGCTATCAGTTTCTGCAGATGTCCAACAGGCTACCCGAAGAAGACATTCCAGCATCGCAACCGCCGCCAGCATCCTCGCAACATATGCCGCTGCGTCGTAATCAGTTCCATGGAGATGATCTAAGCACGCACCTCAAATGTCGCTGCTGTGAGAACTCGCAGTGTCCCAGTCCCCGCTCCAGCGATAGCGGCATGGCTGGCAGCTGCACCATAGCCTCGCCAGATCCACCCAATCCGGAGTGTTACTATCCCGAGCCCAATTTTCAGTTGACTGGCGGACAGCCTCTGGAGTCGCCTAGCCTAGATGTGCCAGATAATGTGGAGAGGTTCGATGTGTGTGGCATGTTTCGTGAGAAGTTTCTGACGCCTGAAGCCACGCAGGATTTGCCGCCGGATGATAGGAGCGATGAGGAGCAGGAACCTGTCACGCCCACCAATAGGAAGCCAACTACTACTGAAGCTGCATCTACTGCCGTTGTCAGCTCTAATGCACAATTCCAAGTCAATTCGAAAAACATTTTCCTCAGCTCTGCCTCCGTTGACGAGACGGCCCGCTGTACGGAATTAAGTGAGAACAACAACGAGTTACCTCTGAGCTCCAGCTCGGCAGATCAGCTAGACACTGAGCCTAGAGCTGTGTTTCGCTCCGGCATGTACGCACACTGGTGGAAAAAAGAGAAACTTCCGCCCGAAGTGGTGCGAGGCATTGCCTATGCGTACAACAAGAGTTTGCCGTCCATGGGACGCACCAGCAGCAGCAAGGATTCCAATGGCTCGGTGTGTTCTAGTTGCTTTTGTGCCCTGGGCGCTAGCGGCTTCAGCGAGGGAGCCATCTACTGTTCCATCTGCCAGAATTGCGTCGATTTCTACAACAATGTCTCGGCGGACACAGGCACCACCAATACGGATACGACCACGACCACCGCCTCATCGAATTGTCCTTTGTGCAGCGACAGCGAAGGCGCCAACGCACTGATCTCCCAGAATGCTGGAAATCATGAGGCAGTCGCTACGGCTGCCGCTGCCGCACGTGGCGTCTTTGCCGCCCAACCCTCGTACTCCTCATCGCTTGACTGTCCGATTTGTGCGGCGCGCATAGCCAGCGCTAGCAACGTTGCCCTGGCAACTGAAGAAGGCAAGCGAAACGAAGTGAGACGCCATGCACGCAGCCCTGGCTAAGATCCGCAGATATTGGAGCGGGGCTAGGTGCATGGCGTGCGTTTGTGCACGTGTTCCTGTTCTTGATTGTTTTGTAAATTCGTTTTGCTCACGTTCGATTTCATTATTTCTCTCTAATTTATCATCCGAGAAACCATTTGGAAAATGCAGCACGCCCAAAAACTTTTTCTAATTGTACTTAATTCTTGTACTCAGACATGCTTTTAATATCAATTCAACCATTCAAGCACATGTTTAGACATTTACGTTCGATATATTTAAAGAGCACTCAGTAAACTGAACATTGCAACATGAAGAGGAAAATTGTGTTTATTTAGGAAACTAAAACAGAAAATATTAATAGGCAACATTTTCTCCTAATAAGGGCAAATTCGTTGAGAAGTTTTAAAAGCTTGTAGAACTGTTTTCATTTAAAAAAAGGTGTCAGAATTGTTTATACGCCTACCAGAATTTATTTTTATGTTAATTTTTTCGGCGCTAAGAAACTTATTGTAACACCTGTAAACACAATTTAAAGATGTATTTCCAATATTGGTTTCTTATTCCACAACAATGTGAATAGATGTCGTATAATACTCAGAAAACGACTTCCCCTGTGGAATTGAAATATGTTTGGGAAACAATTTAAAACTCAATATCACATGACATTTAATGAATTTCTTATTCTCAAGTTGGCAATCACATAGAAGTTTTCAATATTTCAGTGTTATTTATCTATATATAAGATCTTATATAGTTTTTATTTTAGTAAAATCTTAGGTAGTTAGAAAACAGAGAACATATGAAAGATCGTTGAAAAACTTTGTGGAAATACAAACTAAAAGTAAAAAGCATTTGGTACATTTTTTATTCGGCTCAATTTACGTTTTACAATCAAAGCTGTAATGCATTTAAACAATTATTTGTTTATATCGACCATTCACTGCACATACATATGGCACACATTAACGTTTTATTGAAAATTATTCATGCAAACATATACCCCATTCATGCCCATTGCAAGCGCCCCACACTAATATCCATAATTTTGATTTTGATTGGCGTTGTATTTTTTGAAATTTGATTTGGAAGCTGAACGAATTACAAAACATTTATCTAACGCTCAGAAACACAAAAAAAAAGAAGAAAAAAGAAAAGAAAACTCAAACAAACAAACGCATTCGATTCGATTTGCTTGCTGCGCTTTTCTCGCTGCGCTTTGCGTGCAAACATTAAATCTGAAACTATTGCTCTGTACGTTGTTTAGTTATTGCAATTGTTGTTGTTGTTGATGTTATTATTATAGTTGATGATAATGTCTGCATAGTGCTGACAGCTGCCAACACATTTCAGTAAAGTTAATAATTTTGCCTAACCAGTTGCGCATTCAATCATTGAAAGACTTTAATGCTAAATCCAGGCCTTGTTTCTCTTGCAGATGTCTCCGCCATCGAGCCACAGTCTGTTGTTGGCGCCCGGCAGCCGCAGCAACACGCAAATCCCGCCGCCAGTGCCACCATCCGCCAGCAGCCAACAACAAGCGGCAGCGGCAGCGGCGAATGCAGCTACCTCGATGTCACAACACAAACGGAGCCTGTCGTTCAATCATCACCTCAGCTACAGTCAATACACGCACACTCAGCCTCCACCACATCTTCTGCATCCACAACAACCACCAAGTCTACCAAGTCATCTGGGGGCAACAAGCCACAAATCAAGTTTAGTCCCGACACCAAGCAGCAAGACAGCAGCAACAGTGGCGGGAACGGCAGCAACGTCTATGGAAAGCAATCCGGCAGCAATTCTGGGGGCAGCAATGGGGGCGCCAAGCGCAAGGAAAGGAAGCACAAAGGGTAAGGCCATCAGCTGTTATGTATAGGGCAATTGCCCTTAAAATTCCAGTGGATATTTGTCTACTTAGTATCAGTTTGTTTAGGGAACTAAAATTGAACTGCCCGTATGTTATTACACTCAATACTTATATGCGAAATTGTAGATAATATTTGTTTCCCTTTCGCACGTCTGCTTGTATGAACCCCTCGCCCTTAGACCCCATAATAGCTAGAGCTTACAGACTTGAAGTGAGCAATCGTCTTATGTCTTTGCAAATCAAGTTCATGTTAAATTTGTTAAACAAACAAATTTGTAGACATTTTTCTTATGCATTTAGTTCTTCAATTTTTAAATATATATTTTTATTTAAAGTCAATTTGTTCAATTAGAAAACACAGATCCGCACAATTTATACTTTAATATGAATTGTAAAACAGTTTTTAAATAAGAATTATAATTAATTTACACCTGTTTCGCTTACAGCTAATTGGACCATTAGCTGTCTGCGTCCCACGCCGCCATTGCGACCCACATTGTTAAATGCCTCGAGTGGTTCGGGTAGCAGCGGAGGTGGTGTGGGCAGCAGTTCCAATACTTTGGCGAGTTATTGCAGCGGACGGAAAAATCAGCCCACATTCGAGGAAGATGCTCTAGTGTTACGTGTGTTCGAAGCGTACTGTGCCGCCTATCAGAACAGTGCCAGGAATACCATCCACTCGGGTAAGTGTTTGGCATATCTCTAGAAATGTTCCCTATTACTGCCACACACACATTTCTGTGTTTGCTGTTGCTTGAAATGTGTTGGAGAATTTATTTTTGATTTCTAATAAGCACACCATATTGTTGGTCCAAATGCGTTTTTATGTACCATACACACACAATACACACATACACATACATATGTAAACCCCACCAACACATTATTAAATGTTAAATGCTGCTAAAAACATACTCCGGCATAGGAACTACTTTTTATTTGGTTTGGTTTCATAATTTTCAAATAATTTCGGTCGCTTCACTAAACATGCAAAATTTCAGAAAAATTCAACACCTTTTCCAAATTCAAATTATTTCAAAAACCAATTTATAATCACTAATTAAATCAAAACTGTTTTAGCGCCAAATTAGAAATAATTGACAAACGAAAAAATGAATATTTAATTTTAAGCAAGAAACAAAATTGTTTAACTGTACATACAAAATTATTTGTAGGCTAACAACAAATACAATTTGTAAAATAAAATTGGTAAAATGCAACATTAAATATATTTTATTTTTTATGAATTAGTTTCTAATTTTGTAAAAAAGCTAAAAACAATTGTCTATACATTTTTAGTTGGTGCTCAGCAAGAAAGAAAAACAAAAACCTAACTATGTTTTAATAATGAAAATGTTAATTCCTTTACATTCTCTGTTTGTTTAGCCCTAATATATATTAATTATTAAAAACATACTGACCATTATTGTGGAATTAAAGGCCATTCATTTAATTTGATCATCAAGTTGTGTTAATAGCTGAAGTAATTGGGTTGAAACAATGGGTTCCAGTCTACAATACTTGTTCAACAACGAGTCCTTGAGATTTTCTAATAAAGATATCGTTCATAATCATTATCATTTTATTTAAAATTCAGTTAATTAGTTTATAAAACTGATGTAAATGGAACTTCGAAATCAACTGGAGATCCAAGAAACCATCGAAAAGTGTTATTTTTATTTATTATTATTTATATCATAAGCATCAAACGCGCCTTCATAATCAATGTATAAACGTTAGCTTAATGTTTTAATTTGAAACTGTTAAGAAAACAGTTAAATGTTGTTATTAAATGTTTCAGTAGTTTTGATTTGCTTCGCAATATCTTTGATATAAGCTTTTTAACATGATCATCATCATATATTTGCAAAAAAGTCGAAAAAGGGCGGATTTTACTGGTATTACGAAGAATATTTGAGATAATCTGACACAATTGAAGACAGCTAGCATTGCTGAAGCCATTATAAACCTCTTTAAGTGTCAAAATACTTGTACAATCCGTCCATTTCGTCACTGTAGTAAATGCTTAATACAAAATATTTGTTCAACTATGAATTCTACAAAGAACACTGAAACAAACTATGATCTATATATTTCTCTATTTTCTATTCCTGTCAAGTAAGCCCTTAGAACCACTCAGTATCAACAGACAACAGCTCTACTGACACACTAAATCGGAAACACAATTCCCATTTAGTTGCTCCGACAACTCACATATCTGATTTGTAAAACCATCAGTACCCACAATTTGAAACTAATAAGCACTCGTCCATAATTCGTATACTCACTCATCTTTTTCTTATCCAAGTGCTATGTAGACCCCTTCCAGTATCACTTGAGACTGCTTCGCATACAAGTCTTTCTCTCTCTCTCTCTCTCTCTGCCCCCTCACTTGCTTTGGTTTTGGTCACATGCACATAAAACACACACAATCACATCCATGCTTTTCATAATGTTGTCCATAATTGTCGTTGCCACCAAATTTCCAATTTTGGTTTTATATTTATGTTGTTGTGCTATTGTTTTGTGGGTTTTAATTTAGGCCTGTCCTTGTTGTTGTTGGTACTCGTTTCGTTTTTCGTTCTTCAAATTTCTTCATTTTCTCTCTTTGTCTTTCACGCCTACTTCAATCAAACAACCAACCAACCAACCAACAACAACAACAAACTACCAACCTACGACTCTTGAACGTCTATCGTCTATAGCGCTACAACCTTGGACTCCTTGTCTGCCCATACGTGGCGGTAAACTGAAAACGAGCAAAACCTTCTCGACCTCCAATCCGCAGCTGCCTTTTATAGCAAATGCCGGCGGCACTACTTACCTCACGCAACAGCAACAACAACAACAACAGCAGCAGCAACAAGCGGCTGTTGGACGCCAAAACTCGGCTGGTAGCCTGAACTCCTCGTTTATTTGGCGCGAGGCCAGTCCCAATTACTTCAATCTGTACTCGAGCTCGGTGGCTTCGCTCAACACCCACAATGCCGCCGGTCAGCGGTATTCGGTGTCGGGAGGGCCCGCTGGCAACATCAAGGAGTATCAGCGCGCCTTGTCGGAGGAGCGCGCAACGGCCACACGCAAGTCCCTGAATCGCTTGAAGAGCGGCTTTGGCTCCGGCTATGATAATGTTTGCACCTCCCCGCTTTTGCCACGCAAGAACAAACCGACACCCAAGCTGATGCCTCAGCAGGGCTATCAACGGGCAGCTACGCCCACGGGCAGCCCCACCACGACCATAGTGAAGCCAAATCCAGGACATCCCGGACTCTATGATCGTCGTTTGAACCGCTCCTTCGAGACATCCACTTCGCATCGTTATGCGGGCTACGGAGCCGGTTATCTGATGAACTGTGGCGGCGCCTTGCGGAACAGCACCCTCCAGCGCAGCACTCCCCAGCTGGCGGCCGGTGGCGAGAGATCCGATGACAGCGATGTGGAACGCGGCGAGCATGGATGTACGGCTGCGCTGCTTCGCAATGGCGCCGCTGCTGGCGGAGCGGCCAACAATGGAGCTCCCGCCATCGAGCTTAATCCGGATGGCACGAAGCGACAATCGGGCAGCTGGTGTTGCGGTAATTTTGTCATGAAACAGTGGCGCAAAATCAACAATCTTTGAGTGCTTCACGTTCGTTTGTGGGGGGCAGCATGCGTTCATATATATAGATATACTCGTATACTTGCCATATCAGCCATAAAATGCATTCAAACACACACATACATATATCTTCTTAGTATATACATCTGCAATACATGTGTACATAATTCCGTGTGTGCTAAATAATTCAGTCAGAACCGAAGCATTAAGCGCCAGTACAGCTTAGCTCAGACGCTACAAACACCCGCTCGCCAGGATGCCCGCTCCGCCTGCTCTCTCGCTTTGCTTTCGCAGCGCTGCTCGCCCGCCTTGAATGCGAATGTCCTCTTTTGTATGAAATTGCATTTCAAAAGCTTGTTTAAGCAGGGCATGAGATTTAATATAGTATGTGCAAGTTGAACGAAAGAATGATTAATTGCTTAACTGCTCAATGATGAGTTTCCAGTGAATGAATTCTAAATCAAATTTTGTAAGTAGGCTTTTCTTTTTTCACACAACAAATGTGTGAGTGAGAAAAATGTAATAATTAAGCAGTTAAGCATTTCATCAGTCTATCGTGAATGAACTTAAAACTGATTCCCATTTAAAAAGACTAGAAATATTTGTCTGTGTTTGTGCGATTTGAAATCGTGTCTCTTGAGCTATGAACAATATTTAGCAGAAATGACATTTACAATCTTTTATAGTGTTCCATAAAGTTCCAGTTATGTTTCCATTTTTAATTTACTTTCAACCAAGTTCTAATAAATTAAACCACTTTCAAGGATTTGCCAAGAAATGTCCCTTAAATATTGGAATGGTTCTATTTGTTTATTGATTAATAAAGAACAAATATTTATTCGAAGTTGTAATAAATTAAACCACTTTCAAGGATTTGCCAAGAAATGTCCCTTAAATATTGGAATGGTTCTATTTGTTTATTGATTAACAAAGAACAAATATTTATGCTAGAAATATGGAATAGTAAAATACAACTTAAAATATAGAATTTATAAATCTATACCTGTATTTTAGACCAAATACATAGGACCATTATAATTATAGCGCTCAGTGCTTGCCCAACAATAATTTATGTACGTGATTCGGCGATTCGAATATAAGATGATTCTAAAAACAAAGTAGGCAGTCATGGAATCTTTTATAATTTATTTTATTTGAGCTGCATAATCTTTTAGCCTTAGCCCAGTTGACTTTGAAAATTGTGAGACTCTGTTTGTCTATTGGTGTCTTAGCTTTGCCAACTTATGCTCTGTATTAACAACTAATATATAACTGTAGACTATAAAGTTTTGATGCGTTTTAGATATGTTAATGGAATATTTTGATAACTACTAGCTAGAGTTTTGGAAATATGCCAGATTTGTACTTTTAAAATGCAGTTACTGGCGG